GGGGGGGGGGGGAGCGGCAGGGAAAGGCCACTTTCTGCAATATCTACAAATGTAAAGGTTATATTTTGCTTGCATAAAATAACAGAAGCAGCAAATGCAGATCTGTAAGCCCACATCAGATCCCTGGAGGGAGGGAGGTACCTGCTCCGCTTCTGCTGGCCCATTTGATGTAACATCTGAATTTGAACTCATCAGGATATTCAAGTCTATTGTTTATGGCTTGAATGAAGTCAGTTTTACTTCCACTAATTGCATTTTTCAGCTTGCCAGTACCAGAATGTTTGTGCTGCGAACAATCATGGCAGTGACATCTACATAACAATGAAGTTTGTATTTTTACATTTTACCCTTTCACTATCTACACTTCCCCAAGATTAGCAAGCATGTGATTACTGTATATAACTGCAATAACACAATCTTTGAATGATGCATTTCATAAAGCAGACCCTTTCAGGTATGTTTTTTCTCTGCTGGACTCGAAGGTGCTACACAATTCTGCTGGTCTTTCAGCTCACCATTACTTCTCCACTCTCTCTGCCTCTCCTTTTGTCTCAAACCAATTTTTACACACCCACACCCATCCTCTTCTTTTGGCTGCAGGAGGACTATGTCACTCTTTCCAAGCACCAGTGAATTTTTTTCCTTTCAGACAATCCAGACAGATCTCTATCACTCAAACATCAGCTGTTCCTAAGGAACACGTGCAATCACTATAACAATATCCTGAAGAGCCAAAGAACCATAGACGGACATATCTAACCCATGAGACATTTTCCAGCACACATCCCTTTGAGAGGAACAATAGTGCTCTTGTGTAGCTTCCATTCACTGTGTTCCTTGATAATTAGTCAGCATGTGTGTGTGAAAGGGAGGTGTTAGCTGAATTTTTTGGCTCAGGCACAAAATTGTCTCAAGCCAGCCCTGGATGAAGTGATGCACTGTCTGAGATGCAGGGCTTTGGAGACCCTGTTTTGATCCGAGTAGAAATTGAGATGATCCCTTTGGAACATGTTGTCTCTCGAAGGAGCCTGAAGTGAGTTAATAGAGTCTACTGGTGGCATGTGTCAAGCACCAGAGACAGCAGTCCAATGGGCCACAGACAATCCAAGACAGGCTACAGCTATGTTCCAGAGGCAGCAACCTGAAGCTCCACAGGGGTCAGAAGGAAGGGATGCCCGATACAGGTGGGCCAGGTTCCAAAGGGGAAAAGGAGAATGAGCAATGAAAGCCAGGCTCCAGGAGCCTGTAGAGCAATCATGAACAGACAAGGAGATGAGCTGCTTAGACCAGAGAACATCCTTGAGTCCAGATCTTGGAAAGTTATTTTTAACAAGTGTGACTAACTGTAAGGACATGCTGAAGCCCTCTACAACAGAGTTGTGGCAGGATGATGCTTTGGGATCCAAGACATCATCTTCCAACTGTTCAATTATGGAGGGCTTCAGTGTGTGATTTTATAAATTCTTCTTAAAAGTAATTTTCCAGGTTCAGTGAGATAAGGCCCGTAGATGTCCTATGTATGTCTAAGACACCTGATCCAGCCAGACCAACAAAGTTCATTCCATTTTTTAATCCTTATCTGGGTGGTAGCTGGCTCTGTTGTTTAGGCCCTCAGTCCATGTTCCATCCTGCCCACCACCTTACAAATTGCATGCAATGTTATGGGTTAGGTAGTGAACTGCACACAGTGGACTTAAGTGAGGGGTAGGCAATCTATGGCCCTCTAGATACTTTTCGACAGCACTTCCCACAATCCCACGACTTTAGCAAGGCTAGCTATGGCTGCTGGAAGCTGCAAGCAGGCAAAGAGCTGCAGGCAAAAAGGGATCCAGAAGACCACAGACACCCAGCTTTGAAAAGTGCCTGGATAAGCCAGATAGTGCAACAATTATTTCATTTAAGAGTCCCATATGTATTCACTTATTAAGACAGCTCATAGCAGAAGACTGACTAATGCAAATTATGTCGCGGAGGAAATAGCTCCTTCTGTAGAGCCAGAAGGTTTAACGAGTAAGAGCACCGGTCTCAACATTTAATATGAAACGCAGTATCAGTTACTAACCGTTCTCTTTGAGAAGGATTAACAGCTACTAGGGAGCCCCTGTCCCAAATCCCATCAACCTTGCCAGTAACAGTGCTATAAGTAAGAAAGAAATTTGCATGTTAGAAACTGTGAGCATCATAGTTTCATGATCTCTATGGTACCAAAAAATATAGACGTTGCATAAAAGTAGCACAGGATTTTTATATTACTTCAGGAACACTCTTCCTCTCCGTGAGCAATGCTGTGCAAGTGATACCATTAGGATATTTGTGCAGAGCTGAAGATAGTATGTTTTACTTTACACTGTGCAATGTGACAGAAATGTGTTTCTTTGTGCTGTAAGTGCACCAAGCAGGCATTATAGTCATACAATACCCATATTCATGGCAGGAACAACACAGTATTTGTTATGCAAACATTGAGGCAGGGTTCAAAGAACTATGAAACATAGTTTCTCATTTGTTTCTCACACTGTTACTACTCATGCTACATTGCCACTGACTTTTCAAACCGAAAGAATTTTTTTAAAAATAGTTTATGATCGCATATGAGCTAGATTTTCGAAGGGGGAAAAAGGTCAGAAAATTCTTCTGGGCTAGCAAAAAACTCTGAATTCTCACCAACATAAAACCCCACATACATATTCACAGAGGCAACCTTGTGCCCTGCTGCTTGTCCTCTATGATCAGAACAGGCTCCCTAGCCAAAAACATCTGGTGTGCCACTGCAAAGTTATTGTTATGTGCCATCAGATTGCTTCCAACTGATGGAGAGCCTATGAATGGGCAATCTTCAAAATGTCCTGTCCTCAACAGCCTTGCTCAGCTCCTATAAACTCACACCTGTGGCTTCCTTAAGGGACTCTGTCCGTCTCCTATTTGGTCTTCCTCTTTTCCTGATGTCTTCCAGCTTTCCCTGAATTATTATTATTATTATTATTTAGAGAATCTTGCCTCAACATTTTTGCCTCCAGAGATAGTTCAGGCTTGATTTAATCTAGGACCCACTTGTTTGTCTTTCTGCCAGTCCAAGGTATCCACAAAGTTCTCCTCATCCACCACATTTCAAATGAATTTTTTTTTCTGTCAGCTTTCTTTATTGTCCAATTTTCACATCCATACACAGTGACTGGAAATACAACAGTGTGGATAATCTTGTTCTTGTTCACCAGTAACACATTCTTATTCCTGATTATCCTTTCTACTTCCTTCACTGCTGCTCTGCTTCCTAGCAGAGATGGCCAAGGCCATATGCCTTGTTTTGAGAAATTCTTCCTTAGTGGTATTACTGGTAAAGTGCCTTGGGAGATTGCCAGAGCTATAATCTCTCCAACCTTGAGGACTTCTCAGAGCAAGGAATCTGAGTCCTAATCAGCTCTGGAGAGCTGTGTAATGGGCTGCTTTGGTCAGCAAGGATCTCTGGATTGCTGGTTCCTCCAACAGGTGATGTTGTATGATGAACACCCATTCACTGCTCTTCCCACCTGACGTGGGAGCATCACCCTACCAAACATGAGGGATGGCCTTACTTATTCTACTTATTCCTCTGAATTGATTTATGCATGTTCAACACTTGGGAACTGCAGCATCAGCTGATGACATGCCTGTGCGAAATAGTCACTGCAAAAACAACACAAAGGACACAGATTTCATATCACACCACAGCACCTCACATACTTTTTTCAGATGAGGCAGATCATCATTGAGCTGTGAGTTATTAAGACATGCATGCATCAATCAGGCCTAAAATTAAGTTCCCAACATGCATTCATAGGCTGAAATCCTGCTACTCAGCACAGTAAATTGCAACTAGAGTAGGCCCATTGAATCAGCAAAATATACAGAAGAGATGACTTACCAAATCCCCACTGATTCAATGGGCCTACTGTAGGTGTGACATACTATGGTAAGTAACAAAATTTCAGCCAGTCTCTCGTAGTTTTATTTTGGTAGATCTAAGTCAGGCCATTCTGATGTTATTGAAACCAAAAACCCATCATTCTAGACCACTGGTCATGCTGGCTGAAGGAGAAGGCAGTTGGTGTTGAACGACATATTGGAGGCCACATATTTTCCAACCCTACTCTAAGGGAAAGATCAATGTCTGCACTTCAGAAACAAGGCAATATTTCTTAAGTACATCTACGTCTAACTTTAAAGGCATTTTGACACACACTTACTGGTAAGAATTTTAGAAGAGTACTTGAAAATGGGACCGCCAATGAAATGTCGCAGCATTTGGTGCTTCAGTTTAATGATTTTGCATATTCTTCAGTCATGCATTCCTTTATAATACTCCATTTTGATTCCTTGTCCACATGTTTTACATCCCACTCCCATTATAAGCTGGCAGTATTCTGTGCCTACTGAATAAATTGAAGTCTCACTGGGCTATTTTGGGGGCTCTGATCTTATAGGGTTCTTCCCCTCCCAACAATGTGTGTGTGTGGTTTTTTTTGCAAATTTTGGGGCTCCCTCAAACCTGTGAATACTTCCTCCTTGTATATAATGGTTGTCTAATGCACTGGTTCTTAACCTTGAGTTACTCAGGAGTTTTGGACTGCAGCTCCCAGAAGCCTTCACTACCAGCTGTGCTGACTGGGGTTTCTGGGAGTTGCAGTTCAAAAGCATCCGAGTAACAAAGGTTAAGAACCACTGGTCTAATGGATATACAAGCAATGGAACTTATACTTGAACACCCAGGAACAGAGCATATGTTTGAATCTTATCCCTGTTCCTTCAGAATATCTTTGGTGGGACGAAACAGAGCAAACTGCCATCAGACACATTACAAGTTATGGAAATATTCCAAAGTGCCACTCTGTTCCTACCTGGTCAAATCATAAATACTGCAACAATACAAAGATATATTTCCAGAAGTACTCTGCAATGAAGAATGGGAAGATAGCTCTCAATTAACATTTTAAAAGAATGTTTAAAAACTAACAAAGTAACAATTTTAACCAGGTGAACATCCGTACAGCATTAAAATCTATTTTTCAATGAAGGATGAATATTTTAAAAATCTAATGTGAAAAGTTACTTCACCATGGTGCAGTAGTAAAACTGCAGTCCTGCAGTCAAGCTTCTGCTCACAACCTGAGTTCAATCCTGACAGGCTCAGGTAGCCAGCTCAAGGTTGACTCACCCTTCCATCCTCCCAAAGTCAGTAAAATGAGTACCCAATTCCAGAGGGGTGTATGTTAAAGAGTTGTTTGCATAATTATGTTGTAGACCACATAAAGAGTGCTTTAGCACTTTGTAGCATAATGTAAGTTGAAATAAGAACAACATATCTAGCCTTAAGCACAAGGGTCAGAATCCTACTGTTTTGTGTGTGTGTGTGGTTTATTTTTTGTGCATTGAAGCAAAGGTGTAGCAGTTAATTGAGGCTAATTAAAAAGGAGTCAGTCACTTATCTGGTTCTAGGAGTAGGCACACAAACTGCTAGCAAAACTTTCTGTCCACGTGCGTAAAAACCAAACAGGATTCTGGCCATGAGCTTGTTAATACTGACGCCAACAAGAAAACTGCTAAATTAACACTTATCAAGGATATCGGTTCTCACAGCTGTGGCTTGAATTGGGATTAAGTGTTTGCATCCTACTACTACATGTTTTAATTCACTGATCTGTACTAGGATGTTTATTAATACTAATTTGTAAACAGACACAGTAAGTACAGCTGACCAGCCTCTGTGCTTAGCTGCAAGTGTGGGAATGTGGGCTCAATACAAACCTTGAATAATTTAGCTCCAGGGATTTGTGGAACAGTTTCTTCTGAAAAGGAAAGGTTCTGTTCAGCGAAAAACTCCTTCAGGGCACTCTCACTAATTTCCACACCAACGACATGGTGTCCCAGGTCAGCTAACCTATGTATAACAATAAATGTGGCTTGCTTACTTATATTACTATATATTTTTAAAACAACAGCAAACAATAAAGTCAAAGTCCACTTGGGTGGTGAATGCCGGAGGTGTATGAGTAGATTGTAATTGTTGTAAGCCACCCAGAGACCTTTGGGTAGAGCGGGCGGCATATAAGTTAAATAAATATGTAAATAAGATACACAGGGATACAGAATGGATTGTGCACTGAAGTTTTAGCCAGTAGCCACATACAGGAATTAAACCACTCAGACAAACATTCTCTGTACAGACATATTGTGTGAGGCTGTGGGAGTCCCTTATCTGTTCCAGCCAGCATACTATACTGGGGTGGTGGTGGTGAAGAAATGGCTCAAGCTAGTTTTTGGGAAGCCATAATGCCAATAAATGCAAGTGACACCTTCTGATTTTCAGTAGCACAACCCCATTATTTTTGGGGGGGCGGGAGGGCCTGGCGTGCTCTGGTCCATGGGGTCACGAAGAGTCGGACACGACTAAACGAACGAACGAACAATGGAATTGTAAGCAGATTTTGTAACAATGACAGTGTAGTATAGTGGATAGAGTATCAGTTTAAATCCCTATTCAGTCATGGGAATTCCGTGGAAGATGGCAATAGTAACATCACTCATTAAGTATCTCATACACCAGCGTTTCCCAAAGTGTGCACTGTGGGTTCATGGGACACCAGGAGACCCACCCAGGGGTGCAATGGAATCCTCTAAATCTCCCCCTCCCTTCTCTCCCCCCCCAAGTATTGTACAGAACTTACTTGCAGTTTCTCTGGTGTCCTGTGCATGGTGCAGAGCGGGAACCCTGGCCCAGTCTTGCCAAAGGACTGAGCTTTCTGCCCTCCTGCTCTCAAGGAAGCCTTCCCTGCCACCCCTCCCACCTCCTTGAACTGTTCCCATTTTGCCCAGAAGCTGCTTCCCTCAGAGAAGTCAAGCTGAGTGTGTTTTACTTACACCAACTGTATACGTTTAGCATAGTCTCTGGTTCCACCTAGTGGTCAGTACTAGCAACACACTTTGGGAAAGTGTATTCCTCTATTTTATTTTATTACAGTGGTGCCTCGCATTATGACATTAATTAGTTCCAGCGAAATCGCTGTAGAATGAAAACGTCGTAATGCAAAAATAAAAAACCCATTGAAACGCATTAAAACCCATTTAATGCGTTCCAATGGGCTAAAAACTCACCGTCCAGCAAAGATCCTCCATAGGGCGGCCATTTTCAGTGGCTGTCTTGCGAGGAATCCGTCCCAGAAAACAGCGGGGAGCCATTTTATTTACCCCGTGGCCATTTTGAAACCGCCAATCAGCTGTAGGAAAATCGCTGTTGTGCGAAGAATCGGTTCCCGAAACAGGGAACCAATCATCGCAAAGCGAAAAAAGCCTATTCAGACCATTGTTTTGCGATCGCAAAAGCGATTGCAATAATGTCGTCGTAATGCAGTTTTATCGTAATGCAGGGCAATCGTAAAGCGGGGCACAACTGTATTTGTTTCAAGCAGCAGATAAGTGAAACTGCAGGTACTAAGTTTGTGGATACAGTAGTCTTTCTGTACTGGGGAGCTGCAGCCAGTTGCCAGTAAGTCAAGGGAGCAACAAGACAAAAAAGTTAAAATGAGGAACCACTGTCACACCTTGAAAACCTTCTTAGGATTGCCCTAAGTTGGGTACAATTTGATGGTATGTAATACAGCATCAATAGTTACAAGATCTACTAATCCTTCTTTGATATCACCAGTGCCATGGAATTCCCACAGAAACAGAAAACAACCTGGAGGACTTTTAGTGCAAGTTTTTCTGTTTACATGACTAGATTAGGGTTAAGCAATACTTCAGTTTAGCTGTCAAACCTGGAGATCAACCCTTTCTACTGTTGTGTCCTCATCATCAGACTTCAGTTCTAGTTGAACATTAGTGCTCTTGTACAGTTCCCAGTCTACTGAGTGGGGACTGTGCAAGATAATCTTTCTGTGGATCTCCTGGGTCCTTTAGGTTCAGCAAGAAGGCCTTTGAAATTGAAATATGGTGTCTAATCCAACCATCTGATCAAATCTACTCCAGATACAGTGGTGCCTCGCTAGACGATTGCCTTGCAGGATGAGGAAATCACTAGACGATGGGTTTTTGCAAGCTCTATAGTGCTTCGCAAAATGGCTTTCCCTATGGGTGATTTTCGCTGGACGATGTTTTGGTCCGTGGTTCATAAAATGTTTTTTTTTCCAGGACCGGTTTTTGCTAGACGACGATTCTGACAGCTGGGTCCGCGTTTCGCAAAACGGGTGTTTTCGGGACCGTTTTTCGCTAGATGCCGATTTTGACAGCTGATCAGCGCTTCGCAAAATGCTTTCCCTATGGGTAATCTTTGCAAAACGATGACAATTTTTGCCCATTGGAACACATTAAACAGATTTCAATGCATTCCAATGGGGAACCATGCTTCGCTAGACAATGTTTTCATACAACAGCAATTTTCACGGAGCGAATTAATATCGTCTAGCGAGGCACCACTGTATTTTTGACCACAACTCCCATCACCCTCAGCAAACACAGTCATTGACCAAGATGGTGATGTTTCAAAATGCCCAGAGGCAACAGTTGGCAGTAGGCAAAAATAATTCTTTGGACCTAGTACTCATTAAATGAGCACTCTAAGTCATGTTTCTGAAGGCGAAAAGAGACTTGTCAATCTGGGTGCGTATATTCACAATGCAAAGTGTACCTTAGTGATTCATCAGTAATACAGCAGGTTCCCTTCTTCTGTCTGTTAACTGTGCTTCCACCCACAGAGCTATAAACCTACATCACAATAAAACTGAAGAAGAGGGATGGTTCATTTACCATTTCATTTCAATGGTTTTGCCACAAAGCGGAAAAAATATCTTCAGTCCCTTCCTGCCATTCAGTAGAAGATCCAGATACTTCCTCAGAAAACTGCCAAAGAACAAAAAAGTTCCTAAATATCAACAGAATAATTGGGCTTTATTTTCTGATTCTGCAAGCTAGATAAGGGCTTGATATATATATTTTTAAAAAATTACTTGTTACACCTGTGTAAATTGGCTGAATGTTATACCCAGGCAATCAGGATTGCACAATTCAATGGTGCAATCAGTTGTGGGGTTTCCATTGCAACCAGTTATGCAATATGTCTGAGAAGTACTTTGGGGATAGCATTTCTGCCTTAATGAGATTAGAGCTATAACCTGTATAACCACTGCAAGAGGATTTCAGCCAGTATTGATCCTTTGTATGTTTACTTAGAAGTAAACTATGTTGACTTCAATGGGATTTACTCCCATGCAATTGTTTATCAGATTACATGTATGTAGTTTTGTAATGGGAGAAACCCAGTGTGGTGTAGCGGATAGAGTGATGGACTAGGACTCTGGAGACCAGGGTTCAAATATCCCCTTGGCCATGGAAACTCACTGAAGGAGTGGAAGTGGTAAAACCACTCTTTAAATATGTTACTTACCTTGAATGTCTATAAAAGTAGTTATAAGTTAGTTCCAAGTTGACAACACATAACAGTTCTGGGGAGCACCTGGCTATAGAAGGCTATATTGATAGAATATAAAACTACATACGGATGTCCTTGTTCCATATGAAATCCAATATTTTTTGTTTGCCATTTCGCTAGCCATTCTTCTTCAGTCACCACTCGGCTTTCTTGTAACTTGGCTTCAAAGTATTTTTCATTCCCAGTGACATCTGGGGAATTTTCCATGGCCCAGGCAACCTTTGTACAGAGAAAAATGGCCAAAACAACTTGTGACTCATTAGTTAATACTTCTACCTTGTCATTAGACCAGAACCTTTGTTTTATATGCTTATAGAACAACCACCCTGAGTTTAAATTCAGTTACGTTTATGGCAGCACTTGTACCTGCAACTTTTCAAGGCATTAACTAGGGCCAAAGGACAGCATGGCCCTGCCTTCTGTTCTAGAAAACAAAACACTAGTCTTTATCAAAGCACAGACTCCCTAGGCAAAGAATGAGACACACACTGAGTTCCAGAACACGTATGTATGTGTCAAAACTGACTGTGTGATTTACTGGTTATATTCATGAGGTATGCATGCATACTCTGCATATGAGAAGCTGTGGGTACATGGGTCCTCCGCTTGCAAATGTCTATATTATACATGCAAAGGTCAGGGGTGGAGAAATGTGTTGCGCATGACATTGGGAGTGGGGCTACAGAGGTATAGCTGAGGCACATATGTTAAAGAATAACCAAACAGGAGAAGATTTTAACTCCCCCGTGGGAGCTTTGCACACAGTGGTACAGCGCAGTCTTCTGTATTCCTTGGGAGGTAGCAGAGAACTGAGAAATCACTAATTTGTTTTTCAGAGCTCCTGATTCACTTCTGAAACGACAGGCACAAGACTTTTCAAACCTGGTCTTAGACAGGCTGGCTTATACACAGAGTTTGGGGAAAAAATTATTTTTTCAACCAAATTTCCCGAAAGCCACAAGCGATGCTGGCCCAGGGATTCCAGGAGCTGTAATCCAAAACAAAACCTTTTCTATAATAATTAAGCACAATAAATCCTGTCTTTTAGAGTTTATAGACAATCAGAAATTTCTGGCAATCGTGCTGTGTTAGCCTTTTGTAGCAAAACAATAAAAAGTCTTGTGATATGTTAAAAATTAAAATTAAGGAGTCACAAGATTCTTTGTTGTTGTAATGGACAATCAAATGAATCCAGGGAAAATCAGGAAATCTGATACTGAGTCAAAAATGGAGTCAACAAAGTGGGCAATGGGCTGGACTGCTGATTAGTTTAAGTGGCATCAGCCATAAAAATGCAATGATGAGCCACTGCTGGTTAGTTTAAGTGGCATCAGCTAGACATAAAAATGCAATGACGACGGAAGAAACTACTTTAAAAGATAAAGATACAATGTAAACATAGAAGAGTTTATGAATAAAAAATTCATTACTATTCTATTATAAAAAGTATTATTCTGTTATGCTGTTTTCAATGGACTGACAGAAAATAATAAAATATTAAAAAACAAACAATTGCTCTCAGTCCACTCACAAAATATAACATGTACAATATGTGATGTCAGCATCACCAGATTATAATAAGTGCTTTCTTCAGCTAAGGACAGATGTATGGGGTTGTATAATTTTTTTAAACTGGGTGATTATGCATTCTTACAGCATCCCTGGAGGGACATTTATATACATGAAGTAAATGAAAGGCAGATATTTATCTTAATGACAGAAAGATGCCATTTGGTGGTTTCCTAGCAGTGAGCCAATCCACCAGAACCTTGTGCAAGTCAATAAGGTGAAGGTTCCCCTTGACATTTAGTCCAGTTGTGTCCGACTCTAGGGTGCGGTGCTCATCCATGTTTCCAAGCCATAGTGCCAGCGTTTGTCCAAAGACAGTTTCCATGGCCACGTGGCCAGCGCAACTAGACACATTTCCACTGTGGTACCTATTTATCTACTCACAAATGCATGCTTTCGAACTGCTAGGTTGGCAGGAGCGGGGACTAGCAACAGGAGCTCACTCCGTCGTGGAGATTCAAACTGCTGGTCTTATGAACTTGCAGCCCAGAGGATCTGCGGTTTAACCCACAGCGCCACCACGTCTGGGTCTACCCTCTTACTTAATGCAGTAATACTGTATACTGCCTGATAGTTTCACGAGGGAGAACTTTGCACAAGTTACACAAGGGTGTGACTCAAAAGAGCTGTCACATTTGTGCTCAAATTTACATTTTGAACACGGGAGTTTCCCTTGATTGTACTCCCAGCACACCTCTCTTGGCCAGCCAACCACCTGATTTGCCTGTCTCACTTTTTCCTTTTATATTAGGGCTAACTAGGACCAGCCATAATTTATTGTTGATTAAACCCCATCTGGCTCTGCTGCTATGTGAGGTGTGTCGGAGGGGACTGTGATTGGAGCACACTGGCCACATGGTTGCTCAAATGCCACCCCCTTTCTGGATATACACAAACTGCACCACCTCTATGAAGACAGTATCCCATGACAGTTTCATGGGATACTGAGAAATCTTAACCAGCTAGCTCTGTGAGCCTGAAAAGGTTTGGATTTTAATTCTTCTAAATCTGTTATTGACAGCCACATCAAGTGATTGTGATGGTACTCGTTAGTGTAGTGGACTGGAAAATTCAGGGTCAAGCTCCCACTGAACCATGAATTCACTGTGTGAATTAACTTTGGACTGGTTACTATCTATTGATCTAACTTGTTGTGGTGATATAGTGAGCAGGAGAGCCATGCATACTATATTGAGCTCATCAGAGGAAAGTCCAGCTATAAACAAACAAATGAATAAAAGATGGTTTGCCTGTATATAAATAAACCAACCCAGATAAAATATTACTGACATTTGTGTACATAAACCAACCCAGATAAAATATTACTGACGTTTGTGTATAACATTGTACATAATCAGTCAGAACTAAATAGCCAAAATCCTATTATAAAATAATGCATGAGTAAGGGAGGATGTGAAATTTGCAATTTTCTGGCCACCTGTTGCATGCCTGGGCACACAACCAAGTATACAACAGACCACATGACTGTGCCATATTATAAAATAATGCATGAGTAAGGGAGGCTGTGAAACTTGCAATTTTCTGGCCACTTGTTGCATGCCTGGGTACACAACCAAGTGTGCAACAGACCACATGACTGTACCATGTTGGAGCATGTGACAGGTAGACAGCACAATTGTGCACACTAGGTACATGATCTCCAATTTGTGTTGCAAAATCCTAATTGGGTGCTGGTCACTGGTAGAGACACCTGTGCTCTATCCATCTGGAAATCCAGCTCATGTTTGTTCACCTGTTAAGGACTGCTACACTCCCTGATAACTTGTGTGTCATGAATGGGCCAATATATACAAAACACCCCAGGGTGCAACCTCCACATCAATACTTTTCAATAAAATTAGTCCACACATTCAGCTACCAACTGTCAAGGGGTGGCACCTAGATATCTATTCATACCTTGATAACTGTAGTATGAATAGAGTCACTGATAAACTACTATGTGCAATAGTTTATACTATTACCAAGTGGCCTAAGAATCCAGGCTCAAAGCGCTAGTCAGTTGTTATTATGGTTTCAGGCCAATTGTCTTCAGTGTAGCCTACCTCACAGAGGTGTTGGGAGGGTGAAAACGGCAAAGAAGGCAGGCAAGCTGCCCTGAGATTCTTGGAATAAATGCATGAAAAACAAACAAGTCTTCTGCCTTCAAAATATACCAGCGTACAATCACCATTAATCTTATATAAGGGAACTCTTGTCCAACCTAAATGGAAGGTAACGGATGAGGCAAGTCTGGCATTAAATGGTAACCAGAAGTAAGGAAACCACGGGGGTGAATTGCTCCCAGCACGGGATGAAAAAAAAATGTAATGAAGCCTCAAAGGAGACCCAGCCACTTGGCCGCCAGCCCCTCAAGTGCCCCTTTCTTTTACACCAGTTCAGCCTCTGGGAAGGCGCCTGGAGTCCTCCCCATGTCCCGCCTTTTTGAATTCTCGGTATTAAATTTAATTTACCTGGTGGGTGGGGGTCGGATGAAGAGAAACAGGACCAAGAGTTGCAAGGGTGCCCTTAAGGAGGAGCTTCGCCAAGCGAGCTCCAAGCGGCCAACCAGCTCGCCTTCAATCCTGGCGGGTCTCTCGGCCTTAACCCTCCCAGAACCGCTGCGCGGGGGGGGGCTCTAGCGGCGGGGCAGCGATGCAAAGCCTGCTTGCCTGCCTCGCTCAGGGCGCCGAGGAAAAGAAACGCCGGCTTGGCTACATTGTCTCCGCCCTCTCCATTTCACCCCACCCCGGCGGCCTGCGCGCTACGCGCTGAGGAGAGCGGAAGCAGGAGGAAGAGGCGGCGGCGACGGGAACAAACGGGAAGGGGTGTGTGCGTGTGTGTATGTATGTATGTGTGAGGCGAGGTCTTTCTGCTGCGGGTCCCCGTCGTCTGAGCCACCCGGGGCAGCGAAACTCCCTCTGGCTGGTCGAGGTAAGGGCTTTGCGCTCATTGCTTTGTTGCTGCTGCTGCTGCTGCTTTGGGCCGTGTTCTTCCAACCTGCGGCAGCAGCAGCGAGTGGGTGACAGACAAGCGCGGTGGCAAGCCTGCGCGACCGCTCCCGTGTCCTGCCTCCACACGCCGGGTCAGTCTCAAGGGAAGGCTGGTCTCTTCCATTAAGGCTGCTGGGCGCAGGATTTGGCTCTTGCGCGCCCCTGCCTTGGGGAAGCGGGTGGGGAGGAGGTTTGCCTCTTGGGAAAGGAGCAGCGGGGGGGGGGCGCTTTCACGGATCCTGGACTTTAGGATCCGGACTTAGCCCCCCCCCGGGGCTGTGCTCAGTATCGGAGCAGAAGGGAGCCATCTCTGTACCCGAAGTCCTCCGAGCACAGGCCGCATGCTTTCCCAACGCGGAGGAATAAAGGAAATGCAGAAGTACAGCCGTGCACACTCACTCCCCACTACCGCCAGGATCCCCACATTTCAGAATGTGGGTTTGCAGGATTCCACAGCCAAGGTACCCCACCTGCTCGCTCAACCTTGCCTTTGAAGGCTGTGTTTACTTGGGAACCTTCTGCACGGCCAGCTTGGTGCTTTAAGGCAATGGTTCCCAATCTTGGATAACCCAGATGTTATTGGACTGCAACTTCCAGAAGTCTTAGCCAGCCCAGCTGGTGGTGAAGGTTTCTGGGAATTGCAGTCCAAGAACACCTGGGTTACCCAAGGTTGGGAACCACTGCTTTAAGGTGTGCAACCAAAATGTGGAATTCAGAGCCTGTCCACACTGTGGAATTTGCTGTGAGCTGGTCAGTGCTTAAAAGGTCCTTAATTTACAGTGCAGTCTATTTTAATTCTTGGTACCCGTCGGTGAAGGGTAGAACAAAGAGCTAAATCAACCATCCCCAAAAAGATTGAATTCTTTAGCCCTGTGCCAGAAAGATAGGGGTCAGTTTTTAAAAGGGGAAGGATGGATTGTTTTAAGGAGAAACAGAAGCAGTTGTTTTCTGTGTTAAACAGTGCTGTCATGTACCACAACTATATGCCAGTGTGGACAGAGCCTGATCAGTGTCCTTGGACGTACTTTGTTTTGGAGGGTCGTTTCCCCCCCCCCCAACATTCTTTCTGTATGGTAACCTTGTACTGAATCCTCAGGCCTGTTTTGTGAAACAGCACATATCAATTCAACAGCTTTCCCTGACCACTCTGGATTGTTGAGCTACAACTCCCATAATTCACTGCTGCATACCCATTGCTTACTGGAGATGATGAGATTTATAGTGTAACCCATCTCTGGAGGATGCTGGACACAGGAGCATAATGAATAAAGATGCCTCTTCCAAAAGCTCCCTCATCACCTGTATTTGTGCTCCTCTGTCAAGTTATTTCAGAGGTCTGTTTCCTGTAAGTTGTTTCCCTTCTTCCACTAGTTTTCTATTATTTGGGTGAGGAATTAGTTCTCCTTTTTGAAGAAAGAATTCAAAAAGAATTGTTCAGGGTACATGTGTAGGAGGTAAGGATTCACTAGCGAGAAATACTATAATGCCTTTATTATTGTTTCTCTTTTCATGTTACTACAGCCTTGTCTAATTAGGCATCTGAAAAGCAGCTGATTGGATTCCGAGGTGAGCAGAAACTTAACCTTTGTGCCATGGAATTGCTGTGGAAATTACAAATAAAGAGCAGAAGTGTCTGTCAGCCCTATCATTGGCCAACTCAGGCAACAGATGTGTCTGGCATGTGAATGTGTGTGCTGAATACCAGATCCTGTTTATGGCATTAGGAACCTGAAGTGTAGGTGGCTGCCTTGATCAGCTTAGGCTGTCCTTATTCAGCGACTGTTGTTGTACTTGTTTAAATGAAAAGAATGCTGAAGAAATAAGAGACAGAGAACATAAACATTAAAATATTTAATAATAATCAGAAGCTGGATGTGGAGGATAACGGAGTCATAACAGATTTCTGTACTTTGTATGACATTTCTTCATCCATCTTTTGACCTAATTTGTATACTTTCTTTTTATATATTTCAAAGATTTCCTTTAAAGTGCCCTTTCACTTTTGTTCTGCATTAATATCAGTTGCCCAAAATACAAGCTGCATTTTCAACTGAAAAGTTACTGCCTCGTTGGCTACTCTTTCCAAATGAGCCTTTCCTTGCACTTGAGGATGGTGTAATAGTTCTAAATGGTTTGTTATCATATGAGACAAACCATTAAATGTATTACTGCTATTTGGAATTAACAGATCTTATCTCCGCCTGTTATCAGAATATCACTGCTGACTTCATCCTGTGTTCATTTATTTAAAATTATTTGCAGATTGTCTTTAAGAGTTCGATTGAACTGCATTCTTCTTCCCTATGTACTTTGCTATAGCATAAAATATATTCCCAGGCCAGCTGAGCCCTATATCTTTCTCTTGGGAGGATACTCCATATTATTTTGTACACTTTTCTGCAATCCTTTTTCTGCCCTTCTCTCTCCTGCCCTTTTTTCTGGATTCCTCAGTGTGGCACTTATTTATTTATTTCATTGGTATAATTTAGAATATTTTAATGCCACTTTTTGGAAGCTCAAAGTGATTTACGAAAGAGGCATTTCCTTTTTCCTCCATATTTGAGCAATAGCCTTGGAAACTGAATGCAAAGGCTCTGACACCTTATTTGAGCAGATTAGCAGCAATGGGAAAGTGAAATGAGAGTCTGTTTTCTTTGAAAATTGTGCTGTGGTGTTCAGATTAAAGTGTTTCTTGTGGGCAGGATTGGATAGCTGTGTTTTAACTATTGTTAGCTACCCAGAGTAGGGCTTAGGCACTAGATAAGCAGAATAGAAATGAAAATTCTCTCTCTCTTTTTTTAATACAATATATTATTTTGCTGTGGGAACATAAATTGATCTTGTGTGGCAACTGGATCATACCTATTCACATTTCCTGCACCAGGATAACAGTTTCTACGATACTATAAAAGTCTTATTATTCTGTTCATATTTATGCAGAAATAAGTTTTAGTGTCCTATGTGGGGTTTACACCTTTGCAAATAAACATAGAAGTGAGACCATTAGAGAACCCCCCCCCAAAAAAGGAAAGAGGGTAAGCAAAAGGGAAATTCCCCCTGAAACTGAGCTTCACCAGACTCCAAGTGGACTCTGGTTTAGGAAATGGCGCTAACATATAAACCACCAATCTTTATGATGCTAAAATGTTAACCAATGAAATTTATTTTTCCTCCTGGATAGGAAATTTATTTTACCTCTTAGGCACGTTAGGCTGTCGTTGGGACAGTTTTTGGATTTGTTTAAGGGCACTCCCTAACATCCTGCTTGCTTATTTTGTGCAGCGCCATGTCAACTGGGAGAGCCCGAGCAAAGAAGAAAGCATCAGTGGACCAGTCTCCTGATAATCTTCCCTTGAGAAGTTCGGGAAGACAGGTACATTATCTTATTTTAAGTGTGTAAGCCAAGGTGAGCTACATGCAACTTGTCAGTCATTGGTGTGTCCACCCATTTTTAAGGAATTTGGACTCCCCTGCAACTGATGCAAAACAAGAGAGATTTTCCTTCACAATGGGAATAATCACACAATAGTGATTTTTTTCCAAAAGAAAATCATAGAGCCTGTGTTAGCCTTTTGTTTTGCATTTATATGTGTGTCTCTGTGTTTTAAAATCAGAAGTGAACTTTAGGTTACTTGGAGTTTTTTAAAAAAACGGTTAAGGAATACATGCATAGATGTTGGTGTAGCCTGTCAGTGGGTCCTATTGGAAATGTCAGGATCCAAAGCATGACACTTGAACGATACCCTAAGAGCTCTATAGAACTTTGTAACTCTCCTTGGTAGTCTGAATCTGTGGTGCTGCGTTACAACTAACATTTATCCCTGAAAGGGTTAAATACCACTGTGAATCAGATAATCAAGACAATCATATCAAAATTCATCAGAGGACCCAGGTATGTTTTCTTGCTCTTACCTGGTTCAACAAAATTGACAGGGTGCAGTAATTAACTAATCTGGTCTCCTAGCTAGCTCATCAAAGATTTAGCTTCCAGTCTTGATCCATCTCTGTTTAGAGGATGAGAATAAACCACTCTTTTATCTCATGGTAAAGTAAACAGAGAAAAACATGTCCAGACAACATTAGCTTGTCTAATTCTACAACCTCTATTTATCCACATTGTTTCCATGCATATACGTTTAAAGATATTTCAGAGTTGCTGAAAATATATAGTGCATAAGCTAATTTAAAAATCATTCTTACAGCTATGCACAAAGCTGTAGGGACAAATGCTTAAAATATATTTTATTTATTTATTTATTTATTTATTTAACTTACTTACTTATAAGCCGCCCACTCTACCCCAAAGTCTCTGGGCGGCTTACAACAGTTAAAATACAATAATATGAAGACTGAGATGAAGTTGGAGTCAAATACTTACATTGTCAGACAAATATCTTTCAGTTATAAGCTCTTAACTGAAAAAGTCACAAACAAGAACTTAAATATTGGTTCAATCCAAAAATACAAGCGCTTATAGCCTTAAAAAGCATATCTTGTAAAAACAAGTAAAAATCTATGAAAGTACTGTAATACATTTCTTAGCCTTTTAGCATATTTGAACACACACATGGAAAAATACTAAGTGTTTACAGCTGTAAGAATGTTCTTCCAACCATCTGCTGGATCTGTGGAGGAAAAGCCGTGATTTCTGTGTGTTGCCTCTGTGCTGTTGTCTCTCTGCAACTGCCATTATCTTTTTTTTCTCCGTCTGGCTTCTCAGCTTGGCTTGGCCTTGTTCTGTTGTGGCACAGCTGGCTTAGCTGATTTTGTCCTGGCTGGCAGCTTGCTTACCTCACACCCGCCCTTTTGTAGGCATGGATGCTTATATACGTATTCTATTGTTTATATATTCTTGCCAACCTTGAAGATTCCACTAGTATCCATCTGGCTAGTGCAAAATTTCAGACTGATTAAGGAAACAACATCCATCTTTCTTATCTACATTTTGTCCTAAACTAGCATCTGTATGGGAGTTGCTATCGTTGTGGAGCCCATGGATTTTCCTATATGTGCTATTTATACAGATTTACATGGAAATGAATAGGAGCTTTTTAATTGCTCTGCAGTGGCCTGTTCTAAAGTAACCTCTATCAAGCAATTCATTGCCGTTCGAACCTCCATGGTATAATTACATTTCATATTTCAAGGGTTACATTTCTTGTACCCCTTACTCATTTAATACTTTATTTATACAAACTATAAACTATGACATTCCACCCACCTACAATCAGGTGAACATGGGGAAGGTTATTTTTTGTAGGTTTTCTCTGTTGCTCAATAGTGCAATTTCACAATGTTGACAGTAAGAGGGTGAAATTGATTAAAGCCATATAACCTTTTATGTAACTCACATCAGAATAAATCATGCATAACTCATAACATGAAGTATAACTTATGTACTGTACATTGGATGGTCAAAACATGGCCCTCTAGGTATGGTTGGCCTGCAGCTTCTCATCAGTCGCAGCTGATACAGAGATTGAAAGGGATGATGGAAGTTGTAGTCCAGTGGTATGTGAAGGAATTTACCCATCATTGATGTAAATTAAATGCTCATTGGCTAAGTTCTATTCAGGTGTGCTAGTTTTTATGAGTGGATGCATCACCTTTAAAAAAAAGGGTAAAAAGGCAGAAAGTTCCCCAGTGTTACAAGAAAGTTTCAAAATTGCTTGGAGCAAAATACAGAGATAGTCTAAAGTAGTTCAAGAGTTCATACCAGTAAACAATGAACAATGAAGCCATCTACTTTATACTCACACCTTAGTACTGGGCCAGAGTTGTTCTTAGCCATGCACAGAATGCATCTTTCTTGGCATTGTGGGCAGCATCTGAAGTTTCTCCTTCTGAGACTGAGCCAGTTTCCTCAATCCATTTTATACATTAAATACCCTACTCCAAACGTGCCTTAATTAACATCTTAATCCCCTTTAATGTTTACCAGGACAAAACCACCCTCTGCCCTTCTCCCTTTGCACACTTGTAATCCTCTCTCAGTTTGCATGAAGGAAGCAGACTGGCTTTTGAAGTCAAGAGTTAAAGTGGATGTTTTAGATCCCTTTGGTGTTCCTTTGAATCTCCTCAGGCAGAAAAATCTATGGAAGGTGTCACTTTCCCCTTTGCTCTTGGCCAATACTGACCCCTGCCTCCTCAGCCAGCTTTCCCAATCACTCAGAGAAGCCTCAAAGTCTGATGGATTTCAGGTTCCGTGTTCCCCTAATTTCCCAGTTTTCTTCACATTAGGTAAGGAGGAAGGCAGCAGAGGCACCCGAGGAAGATGAAGATGCATCAGAGAAGAAATATCGGAAGTGTGAAAAGGCAGGATGTACTGCAACATGTCCAGTTTGCTTTGCTAGTGCTGCTGAAAGGTTTGAGTTCCTTTTCCCCTTTCCTCTGAAACTTGGCAGGCCTGATCCCCTTCAGAAGAGGCAACTGTGTCTGCAGATTTAGTCCAATTCTTTCAAGAAACTTAAATTCTCCCTCCCCATTAAAAATCAGAATGTAAAGTGCACAATACAATTTTCCCTAACTTATTTTGTCTGAAGTGTAATTGCTTCCTAAAGGGCTGCTGTGCTAGTTAAGTTAATGAGTCCCTAAAAGTGCTACTGCAACAGGAGCAATCTGCTTTTTTTGAATGAATAATGTCTTTGTTGAAACAATTATGGAATCTTTCTCTTACTGGCGAGCTTATAATTGGATGATGTGATTTCTCAATGGAGTGCCTCAGTGACCAAGTGAGCTAGTCTCAAATCACAATACTAATGTATCCTAGCGTGAATAGGAAATCAAAACAGAAGTGTTCCAATAGAAGCCAGCATAAAAATGGAGCAGTATTTTAAGCTTAGTAAGCACTTGTTTGACACAGCATCAGGGAAGACAGTTGCTGTCATTGCAATGTACTCTTGAAGTTCTCTGTTTAGATGTTTCCAAATTAAAGTAAGTGAGATATGTAACTTTCTTGTTATCAAACTAATTCAATTAATCATCCACTGAGTATATGGAAAGCAGTTTACTATGCCTTTTTAAAATGTTCAGCCAGAAAAGGAAAAGAATAATAGAATGCACTGTTATAAGAATAACTGCATTACTGGGAAACACTGCACTGCCTCCATACTTTATAGATGGATGCCCATCCTGTGCTTTAATTCGGGATGTTTTTTAACAAATAAAACTGATTTGTAGACTACTAATATTTATGATGTTCTGAATTTTAAAATTGCAGAACAAAGCATATCATTCTGGTAAACATAGCTTCTTTTCAATTTTCTTACATTTTAGGTGTGCCAAAAACGGCTATACGTCAAGATGGTATCATCTTTCTTGCGGGGAACATTTCTGTAATGAGTGTTTTGATCATTACTACAGAAGGTATTCTTTACTCTTTTGTGATTGTGGCTGTTTTTGGCAAGATCCGCCAAGTATTTTCATAGAATAGCAAACGATTTAAATGTTAAATAACATCAACATATATGAAAGCTGAAGCACAGCCCTAAGGCATACCTGTTTGGAAATGAGTCTTATTGAGTTCTGAGGAAGTTACTCCTAGTTTTGAATTGCACTGTTAAACTTGTTCATATACTTAATTTTGTACCTTGTTGTCTCTTGTGACTGAATTGTGAAACAAAGCCTAAAATAATAGTGCTGCATTTTAGTGGCTAAACATTGTAAGGGGTTGAATCAATTAAATTGTAGCAACAGAGTCTGAAAATGCAGCCTTGGACTTCAATCTAAAAGTTGACATAATACAATATGGGTTGGTAAACTCTTGCCTCGTAATCCAAGTTCCTCTTTAAAGGGATTTTGCTAGATGACAATAGACAAATACACGTTTATTCTTGAATACATTTAGCAGTTCTCAAGGATTATATCCAAAACCATGAAGGTGATGAAAAGTGTGGCTGGGATAAGAGTGGACGTTCTCCGTATCTTCCCACCTGGAAGTTACTCAAACTTCCATATGAGGAACACAAAAATCTGAAATAGAGCCTCCAGGTTTTATAGTGGTATTATGACTGAGAGCCCTGCCTTATCAGGATTCCCAGTCATGGCAGCTTTGTAAGCATCACTTATTTACACAGTTCCTTATAGAGCAGTGGTCCCCATCCTTTTCTGAACCATGTTTGGGGTGCATGTGCCGGGGCACAGGGCATGTTTGTGCACATGCACGGGTGTGCGGGGTGTGCATGCACGGGTGGACGGGAGATCGCTCCCGTGCATGTGGGTGCATATGCTGTGCATGCGTGTGGGGAGGGTGGGAGATCTGTCTCCACGGCCCAGTCCTGCCAGGGCCGCAGACTGAGGGTTGGGGACCCCTGTTGTAGAGAATGTATTAAATCAGATATAAGTAGGTAGGGGATGTTGGGAGAGGGATGGTTTGCATGTGACCTCCTATCCTCACCACCATTTTAGCCTTGTCCTCAGTTTCAAGTCTAGTGCATGAACAAGGGCTTATATCTTGAGTAGTTGAAGGAAGCTGTAGTAGCTTCATAGCAGAGTTTAGAAAAGCTCCTTTATTCAACTGGAAGACTGTCAGTCATGCCGGCTTGGGAATTCTGAGAATTTCCAAAAAGTAACTTTTTCTGAACTCGGGTATAGATATATTCCTAAGGTACTCTTGTTCCCAAATTGTGAACTATTGAACAATTTCATAAAAGGCTTTCTGTTAGAAAACGTGGAAAACCATTGGACTATGTGAACATCATCTTGGAATACAGATTAAGTGCTTTGGAAAGGCTAAGGCAGATTGTCGGAAGATATCCTAACAATGGAACCCACATGGGTGTCCATAATTGTGAGGAGCAAGTTGTTCAGATGCATCCCTTAATTAATCATAAAATGAATATATAAAGCTGTTTTTCAGATTAAACAAAGAACCAAGCACAATATGGCCTCAAAGTTGATTTTTAGAATATATGCTTATTTAGAATACAATATTTTAACTACATTTTTGTTTCTGTCACTTTTTGTTAGGATTTCATGTTTGATATGAGCATTAGGTATTAAATATCAGCAAACAATGTCCAGCTTGTACATTTCTTCTGTTCACTGCATACTCTGACATTCTTCTTAGTCATAAAGATGGCTACGAAAAGTACACTGCCTGGAAAAGGATTTGGACTAGCAATGGAAAAAGTGAACCCAGTCCTAAAGCTTTCATGGCTGATCAACAGCTCCCTTACTGGGTAAGAACGTTATTCTTCATTATGTATCACTGCAAAAGGAATAGAATTATTACAGGTGGGACATCCCTTTTCCCCATTGCCAGTAAAAAATGTACAAAGTGGCAGATCTAGGGAAAATTGGCTTGATGGGCACTCCTTGTGTAACTTTGTTATCTTTGTGAATGATTACTAAGTTTTGGGGGGGCATAGCCAGTGGAGAGACTATGTCATTAAAATACCTTGCAATAATTTATCTTAGTTGTATATGGGAATACAAGAAACTGTTAATGCCAAGTCAGACCATGGTCCCATCTTGTTCAATATTACCTAGAGAGACTGGCATTTTCCTCCAGGTCTTCAGGTAGAGTTTTTACTCAGACCTAACTAAAGTTGCAAGGATTGAATCCAGAGGGTTCTGGGCAATAGTGCACATCCTCTTCTGCAGAAAGATTTAGCCATCCTCATATAATTCTTTAAATCTCAAAAGAGTCCCTGTAATAATCTCTGAACTCAGATTATTAAATTTAATTCATGTTAAATCGCACGATCTAATAAAATTAATCCGAACCTTCCAAAACTAGACATACGGTTTGACTTACCGTGTCCAATTCTGTCACAGAAACAGGAGACAGCAGATTCTCATGGTCTTATAGAGGAGTACCTGAAGGGAAAGCACACATACATGCACAAACTTTTACCCAAGACTGTAATTTTCTTGTCTGTGTTGTATTTATTTATTTATTTATTAAATTTGTACCCCGCCCATCTAGACCGAAGTCTACTCTGGGCAGCTAACAATAATAGATAAAATAAAAACAATGCAATAAAATAAAAACAATAGTAATAATATAGTTCAAGATGGGAAAAATAACCAGGTGATGACAGGAGGGAAAGCCTATCTAAAGAGACAGGTCTTGTTTGCTCTTAAAAACACCCAGCAAGGGAGCCAGACAGATCTCTGGGGGCAGACTGTTCCAAAGGTGAGGGGCCACTGCCAGAAGGCCCGGTTTCTTGTTCTCTTTCCAGGCCTCCCTCAGCGTTAGGCCCCTCAGCTGTCCTTCCTGGCTAGAACGAGTGGTTCGGGTAGATCTAGGTGGGAGGAGGCATTCCTCTAGATATTGAGGTCCTAAACCATTTAGGGCTTTATATGTCATTAACACTTTGAAATCAATGTGGAAATGAACGGGCAGCCAATGCAAGGCGGCCAGAGTGGGGGAAATACTATATGCTGATATTTTCTCAACCCAGTGAGAAGTCTGGCTGCCACACTCTGTACCATTTGAAGCTTTCGCATCAGTCTCAAAGGGTGCATTGCAGTAGTCTAATCTTGAGATTACAAGCACATGGACCGGAGTGGTGAGGGCCCCACCATCAAGATAGGGACGCAGCTGGGCAATCCACCACAGATGGAAATAGGCGGAGCGGACCACTGACGCTACCTGGGTTTCCATGGTGAGCGCCGGATCCAGATGGACCCCCAAGCTGCAAAACTCAGTCTTCATGGTGAGAGTCACTCCCCAAAAGAGAGGGAGTTTCCCAAACCACCGATGGAGAGGCCACCCCTCAGGACCTCTGTCTTGTCCGGGTTCAGTCTCAGCACATTCTCCTGCATCCATTGCAGTACAGCCTCCAGGCAGCGCTAAAGGGATGGAACAGCATCCACTGTTGTTGGAAAAAAGGAGATGTAGAGCTGGGTGTCATCAGCATACTGATGACAAGAAGCCCCACACCCCCTGATAACCTGACCCAGCGGCCTCATGTAGATATTAAACAGCATGGAGGAGATAATCGAGCCCTACGGAACCCCACAATTGAGATTCCATGGAGCTGATACACTCTCCCCAAGCTTTACTCTCTGAGGACAGTCCTCCAAGAAGGACCAGAGCCAGGCAAGTGCCAGACCACCGATTCCCAACTCGTAGAACCTCCCCAGGAAGATACCATTGTCAACAGCATTGAAGGCGGCCGAGATATCAAGGAGGACCAACAAAGACATTTTGCCCCTGTCGGCTACCCACAGCAGGTCATCAAACAGGGCGACCAGTGCCATTTCTGTACCGTGGCGTGGCCTGAAGCCCAACTGGAATGGATCCAGGGCATTGGTTTCATCCAAAAGAACCTGGAACTGGTCAGCCACCTGGAGCCTCCACCAAAAGAACCTGGAGCTGGCTCTGCCACTTTGCTGAGGAAAGAAACATTGGCGACGGGCCTATAATTGCCAATGTTGTCTGTTGCCAAACTTGGTTTCTTCCTTATGGGCTTAATGAGTGTCTCCTTGAGGGCAAGGGGAACCTTGTCCTCCTGGAGAGACCCATCAATTATTGGCGTGGCCCATTCGGTTGTGGTGTTGTTGCTGTTGCTGCTGCTGCTGTTGCTATTGTTGTTGAAACTGGTCTTTTTTGCTGTCATGCAGGATCAAAACATTTTCCAGTGGCTGACAACTTTTGCTGTGGGGTGCCTTGATGTTTCACAAATACTCAAAACCTCACACAACTGTGCCCAGTAGAGGAATGACTTTTTAAAAATCTGTCATTTTCTCCTGCTGGAATGGAATACCTATGCAAGTTTGATGGGGAAGGTGGAAGTGGGGAAATGTGTATTCTTCCAAATGGTCCCCTTTATCACTTTTGAGAATAATAGGCAGTCTGAACTTTTTGGGAACTCTAGCTCTGATTTGATGACCACTTTTTTGTTTTGCTCCCAGGTCCAGTGCACAAAGCCCGAGTGTGGAAAATGGCGTCAGCTGACAAAGGAAATCCAGCTTACCTCACAAATCGCCAAAACATACCGCTGTGGCATGAAACTGAACAATTCAACCAAGGTACCTTCAGTTGTTTGTAATGTTAGGTAGAGTTGTTGTGGAGTGTATCACATCTTGGCCTGTTGCCAAGTAATGCATAAACTCCTCAAACAAGAAGTTACAAGATATCGGATGGAAAGGCTTAGATTCTTTATTGCCCCCAGTGTGTTTCTGTATGTTTTTGTGAAGATACACATGCATCTGAAGGTCTGTGGGCAAAAGGCAATTAATTTATAAGGAGGAATAGCATGGAAGTAGATAGATACAGGAGCTAAACATTGTCTTCCCTGGCAGTTTTTCCATTCTGTACCACACTGTCTCAAAGCTGACTTTCCCTGTTAAAGAAGGGAGTTTTAGCAGATGCATTTGTTGGGGTTCTAACACATGAGCTTGCGCATAATTGCTAGCTTCTCTGGTTCATGGTGTTCCACAGAAGCCACGTTGTTGTATCAGTTATATATCTTTAAATAAGAGAGTTGAATTTGGTAATTGAAGCAATGTTTTGTGATGGGGTGAATCAGGGAGGCAATTCTGTTCTCTGACAGTTCTCTGTGTGTATTCCAGGTGGAAGGCTCAGACCCCTGTTCCATGCCTGAGGATCTGGTAAGCAGTGCATGTGGGATTGAAAAAAATATTGTAGTTATGGGAAAGACAGAGATGACATATTTAGCAACAAAATGCAATACATGCAGTATCTCAGTTGTCAAACTTGTCCATGTTTGGGGAATGTCTAGGACTTTTAAAAGACCTGGAAAGACCTCCAAGCAAGAACAGTTAAGAATCATATAACTTTTCCCCGTTTATTTAAATTTCTCCATTCAGTAGACTATTTATGTATGCTAAACATTATCTCACAGATGCTTCCTCACACTTCGGCAGAGCGCCCATAAAATGTTGTTGGAGGAGCACTCTTTGCATGTACAAGTCTAGCAAGAGCCCTTGTTAGCTGTGCACTGAAAGAACGATGTAGAAAAAGAGCTTTGCTCATAATTCCAGTGTTGAGGAAGTACCGCATTTTTCCGTGTATAAAACGACATTTTTTTCCTCATATAATTAGACAAAAGGTTGAGGATCATTTTTACATTTTTTTCCTTATATAATTAGACAAAAGGTTGAGGGTCATTTTTTACATGGGAGGCAGCCACTTTCCCTGCCTTTTGCGAAGCCACAGGGCTTAGCAAAAAGGAAGGGAAGGCTCCCTTCGGGTAAAGCAGCCATGAAAGGGCTGCACAATCACACCCCTTTGATCCTGAAGCCCTTTCACGGCTGCGTTACCCACTTCCTAAGCCCCACTGGGATCAAATTTTATAATTTGGGGGTTAGAAAATGTGTGTGTGTGTGTATTATACATTGGGTTGTCTTATAAATGGGAAGAATACGGTAAATATATTTTTCTAATGGATCCATGTGTCTTCTAAGCCTATACAGTGGTGCCCCGCATAACGAGCGATTCGTTTAACAACAAATCCACATAGCGATATGTTTTTTGCGATCGCAAAAGCGATCGCATTGCGATGTTTTGGATGGTAAAACATCGCTTTGTGATGATCGGTAAGCGTTTCGCTTACCAATTATTGCATAACGATGTTTTAAGAACAGCTGATCGACGGTTCCAAAATGGACGCCGGGTGAAGGAAATGGCCGCCCGCTGTGTTTTCATGCCCTTTCCTCGCTTACTGGGCAGCGAAAATGGCGGCCGCATGGAGGATTTCCGCAGAATGGTGACTTTTTGGCCATAGAAACGCATGAAACATGTTTTAATGTGTTCCTATGGGCTTTTTTTGCCCCGCATAGTGACGAATCCACATAGTGACGATTTTTTTGGAACAGATTATCGTCGCTATGCGGGGCACCACTGCAGTTTGAAGTTAATGGGAATCAAGAGATCTAGTTATTCATGTCATTCCTTTCTTTCATATTTTCATTTCTAGAGAGTTGCTGAAGTTTCGGATCATTGGTGGTATTCCATGCTCATCCTCCCTCCTTTGCTGAAGGATAGTGTAGCTGCTCCTCTGTTATCTGCCTACTACCCAGACTGTGTGGGCATGAGTCCCTCTTGTACCAGTACACACCGTTTAACTGGTGAATCCAATGTGATAAAAATGGAGCATTTAAAAACTCCACCTACTATAGCTGGTAAGTCAGGGATGTCTTTCTGTTCTAAATATTTTGCACTCAGAGATGGCAGTGTTAAACGGGCAGTGTTTTGTAAGGGTTCCCTGCAGCTGATGTTTCACATAAAAGGCACTTACTGCTTGCAGTGGGCAATGTATGTGCAGTGCTGCCACACTAACAAAAAAGATGAAGTGCCGCTCTAAATGAGAGGCCAGCTGTGCACAGACCTGCCCTTGTAGTGCAGACTTCTCATGCTGATTCTTACTATAGTTTTGCAGTGAATATCTTGGAGGCTCTTGATATTTATGCTAGGAAATCAGAGCTTGTGATAGAATCCCTCTTTTGAAAGTGATTATTCTTTTTATCAAATGTTTTTGTGTTGTATTTCTAAGTTGCAATGTTCCTTAGTTATAATGTTTAGTAAATTTTGATCTGTATTTTATTATAATTTAATGTTGTTGATTAATTGTTCTTATTTTGTTATAAACCTCCCAGAGCGGCCTTGGTAGCCAGATGGTAAATTTATAAATCAAATGAATATATAATAATTTATTTAGTTATTTATTTGGAAAAAAGGGGGGGTGAGAAACTGTCTTGGGCTTGATGCTGTCATTAAGGAGAAGTTTTGCAAGGTCCTACAATATCTTGACTCCACCTTGTTGAGCATGTGGCTGCCCAGTTCCAGTCCTGGGCTCTAGCTCTATGGGCTCTAGCTCTATGGGCACAAGGGCACATAGATGAAGTATCTCCTATTGCTGGAGCCAAATTCAAAAATAAGGAGCCAGAAAGCCTTGTAAGTTAGCTCTTCTAGTCTATTCTCTGAAAGCTCATTAGTCTCAGTATGTACTGTTCCATGTCACCAAAAATATATAGGATGGAGAACAGGGCTTTATTAAGAATGAAGCAATAAATGTGGCTAAGGGAAGGGCAGGTGTGAAAACTTTCTTCAAATATATATAGACCTCTCTTCTCCACTCATTGCTTGATCACCGTATAAATGGGTGTTTCTAAATCTGTTAGCTTAGCTGGTTGTGCATTTGTATTCCTCTAAGCACCCTCCCAAATATAAGGTTAGCTCTTCTAGTCTATTCTCTGAAAGCTCATTAGTCTCAGTATGCACTGTTCCATGTCACCAAAAATATATAGGATGGAGAACAGGGCTTTATTAAGAATGAAGCAATAAATGTGGCTAAGGGAAGGGCAGGTGTGAAAACTTTCTTCAAATATATATAGACCTCTCTTCTCCACTCATTGCTTGATCACCGTATAAAATGGGTGTTTCTAAATCTGTTAGCTTAGCTGGTTGTGCATTTGTATTCCTCCAAGCCCCCTCCCAAATATAAGTGTAGTATCTCGTACACTTTAAGGTGCCAGTCCGATTCTTATTTGCTCTGACAGTAAGTCCCATTAAACTCAGTGGGATGCCCTTTTGAGCAGAATATCTGGCTGACAATCCAGGATTCAAATATACTCAATATAAAACTAAGTCAGATTGGCTGCCTGTTACTATTTTCAGCCAACCACTGTCTTCAAAGAAGTTGTCTGAAATGTTGGGAATGGATGCTGTTTCCCACCCTTGCAGTACACGCTTCACTGTTGCTGTTCATATATTACCAGATATTCATATCAACTGAGTGGAGGTGGTTGTTTCATTTCTATGACTGAATCCCACACTGTTCTAAGTAGAGGCAGAGCTGATCATTGTGTTGGAAACAGCCGCATTTCTATGACTGAATCCCACACTGTTCTGTTATAAGTAGAGGCAGAGCTGATCATTGTGCTGGAAGCAGCCATGTCATCCACTCTGGCCTTGGTACTGCTAATGTAGTTGCTTGCTAATTCCTTCCATGATATATTACTGGAGCAGAAGCAGCTAGCTATCAGAAAATGAGGCACCCCATGCTATCCCAGAGCTGTGTGAATTGGACTGGTGTGAAGGGAGGGTTCTGTTCCACATTCCACATTCATGATGGTGTTAACATGATGTATATGTGAGAGAGTTTCCCAATCTTAACATGTAATATGTACAACATGGAATAAAATAGGAGGCTCCTATCATGTTGTATCATCATGGCTTATATGAGAGAGCATGTTATCTTTCAACTTAGTCTAATTATTAGTCTACTTGAGTAGACTTATTGAATCACTGGGAACTTGGTAAGTCAATACTTACCTAAGTTTTATTGATTCAGTGGATCTACTCCAATTGGACTAATATTGCATTTAAGTAAACTCCTGTTACAAGCAACACATTGATTTGTATGCTATATGTTTCTTAGGTACTTCAATTCAATCAGTCGAGATCATAACATTTTCTGCCATAAGCCGTAATTATTATTATTGTTCTTATAAGCAAATGATTGTTTTTCCTTCCACAGTATGAAGAGCCACTTGAAATAAAGGGTTTACATATGCGTACACTCCCAAGGAAAGCGCATTTATGGAGTTAATGTTAAAGAGCATGGGGATACTATGTGCAATTTTGTGTTGTATGCTTTATTATTTTCCAGGAATGAACAAGTACTTCCAGCCTTTCTATCAACCCAATGAGTGTGGTAAAGCCCTGTGTGTGAGACCAGATGTAATGGAGCTAGATGAACTCTATGAGTTTCCAGAATATTCGCGAGACCCCACCATGTACCTTGCCCTGAGAAACCTCATTCTGGCTCTGTGGTACACAAACTGCAAAGTGAGCACATTGTCCAAAGAAGTATCAAAACTAATCCACATTTTTAATATTTCCAGGGGAGGAACGTTGAGGGAAAAGCCCTTCTTCATATTGTGAAACTATCAGAGATCCCTCTTGGAGGTTGCTCCAGGCTCTGGATCTCCTTGCCAAGAGAGGCAAGGCTGGCTCTACTCTGTTGTCCTTCTCCCAGCAGGCAAGGACATTTTTATTCAGGCATGCTTTTGGCTGCAGTTGTAACCAAGTGGGAGATTTGTGCCATTATGAGGCACTCTCCAACTACTGAGAAAAATAAATCTGTGTGGGGCTCCCCGTGACACTCTGTGCCCCATTGACAAGCATATGTCTTCATAATAAGATCCAACAGTACAGTTCTTTTTCCAGAACATGCTTAGCTGAAATGAACTGACAAGTTTGCAGGTCAGGGTGGAGATGGTCTGGTGGAGATACAGTTCCTTTTCTCTTTCTGACGGAGCTGGTGTCAACACCCCCTGTCCATATTATCCCAACTGTATTTTAAGATGGGAAGGAAGCAGCTAGGAAACCTGGAGCTAGTGAAGTGGGCAGCAGCCTTGGTCATCTCATGGCAGATTAGACTGGATCAGCAATTCTCTTTTTGTATTCTTGAAGGCTTTCACAGCCAGGATCTGATGGTTGTTGTGGGTTTTTCGCGCTCTTTGGCTCTTTCTGACTCCTGTCCTCTGAAGATGCCGACCACAGAGACTGGCGAAATGTTAGGAAGAACAACCTTCTGAACATGGCCAAGGAGCCTGAAAAACGCACAACGACCAATTCTCCTTTTCTGCCCTCTTCCTATATGTTTGGGGAAATCTCCAAAGTGAGTTATGAAGGAGGGGTCTTGAGATAGTATTCTTGCTCTAGTGCCTCTGGCAAATGACTCTTAAGCACAGGAGGAGGGAAAGAAATGTGCTTCTTACAAGCACGAAACCTTGACACTTATTCAGCAATGAAAACCTCCTTTGATATCTTCATTTTAGATACTTCTCTTTTGTAAGAGTAATTTCATACCTTGAAATATAATAAAATATCATTTTGGGCTGGCTAGCTTTATGCTTCGTCTGTTTCAGAGATAAGGAATTATGCATTCTGGACTGAAGCAGTTTGCTTTATGCCTTGAGCAGGGCCAGTGTTGATTGTTAACCAAGGTGTGTCTTTGCTTTTTAAATGCCCTCAATAAACAGGAACCTCTAACTCCTCAAAAATGCACACATCACATCATTGTTCGAGGCCTTGTGCGCATTCGCTGTGTGCGGGAAACAGAGCGGATTCTTCATTTTATGACCAGGAAAGGACTGATTAATACAGGGGTTTTGTCAGTTAATCCTGACCAGCCTCTTCTTCCCAAGGATTATCACAATGTAGGTATTTTTAAATTCAACAAATGAATAGTATTTTATGTTCTTCAACAACTGAAAGGGCTGTTAATGTGTTCTGATGTTCTTGTACTCATAGCTATCTTAGTGATTTATTCAGTAACCTTTTGGAAAGCCATATTTGTATGCTGTGTTTTCCATTTCTGGCTACTTTTCTCTGTGAAAAGTTTCCAGTGTGAATTATTCTAGCATTTGCTCAGGATGACCTAAGATGTTGCTAACAGAATGCCTCAGTAGGACTAGTATTTATTTGTTTTTATAGTATTTTTTTTTATATAGTCACTCATTGAGACCAGTACTTTCTGTGTAATGTAAAAGACCTCTAAGAACATCCCTAGTAGATTTAGGAGAATGATGTTCTTACAAATATCTTCTCTTCTTTCTTGAAGAAATCCGTAATTGTGGTTGGGGCTGGTCCAGCTGGATTAGCTGCTGCAAGGCAACTTCAGAACTTTGGAATTAAGGTAAGATAGCATCGGCCAAAGAATGGTATTTCAAGAATTCCCCATCTTCTCTTTCTTATGCATCTCCACCTTGCTTCTCTGCTGCCATAGAGGTGTCTGCTTTGGAGTCTAGGAGGTACCCTAGCAAATTTCCTCAGTCTGTAATGGTCTTTTCTGATTTTATGACAATTCCCCCCAGTGCCCTATAACTCCTACCATGTTTAATTAGCATGACCCCTGTGGTTCAGCATATCTGGACAGCACCAAATTGGAGAAGGCTTGTTTCTGGCAAGGAACAGCCCTTCCATTGCTGAGATCGGAGAAACGAGATGGATGCAGAGGGCATTAAGGATGGTGGGGGAATATGGTTTGTCACATGACCAATATAAGAAAGCTTTTATGTCTGCTCATATTTTCTGTCTTTTAGCAAGAACTGCTGTCTGAACTTGGCAGATAACATCTCTGCCCAGCACTTCAAAATTTCAGGTTTACTGCAGGTTTTAGTGATTATTATATGCCCTGAAGCATGGTAAACTCTCAGTCTAAGAAAGTGATAGCAACCTTTGCTCTTCATGGAATCATCCAGGTTATCATGTGAACTGCTGAAAGTGCTACACTTTGTTTCGTGTTTCTTACCACTCCGTTTGTGTATTGCAGGTCCTTGTACTGGAAGCCAAGGACAGAATTGGTGGGCGAGTGTGGGACGACAAGAGTTTCAAGGGTGTTATTGTGGGGAAAGGGGCGCAGATCGTTAATGGCTGTGTCAACAATCCAGTAGCCCTAATGTGTGAGCAAGTGGGTTTACATTTTTACTGATGAAAACCTTGCAGTAATGAAGCTGATGGATTAATATAAATTGATCCAAATGGTATATATTTTCCAGGAGTGGAAAATTTCTAGAGGTCACACATGTGTACTCTGGATCTCAGAGGGCCACCCTTTTCTCCCCAACACTCCCCAGTTTTAAAATCATTTTAACATGGGGGGATACTTTTTTGGCTCTTCCTTAGTTGCTTTAGACCCAGGAGAGGCCTCTTGAAACAGAAGTGGCTGGAAGATGATTGTTTGTAGCTCATTATATGAGGCTTATAACTAGTTTTCAGGGCTTAGAAATGTTCACTTTTTCAGAGTGTAGTTTTGAGGATCTGCCATGACCTTGCTAGTGGCAGAAACCAGGGAGTTGTAGTTGGAAAAGTAACATGTCAAAACTGTGCTGTTTATTACAATAAATAGAATAATTCTGATTCCCAGTCTATAAAGTGCTGAGTGGAGATTTTGTAACTTTTTAAAAAATTCTCTATTTGTTGTTGTCTCAACTCAGAGAAACTGTTTTAAAATTAGATAAATTTTCATTTCATTATCACATGGTTACTTGGGTCACAGTTACTTGTTAGTCTCTAAATATTGAAAATTTGGAGCTCAGGAAAGTAACTTGAATTGCACCCTTCCTCATTTTTTTTAAAGATGGGAATGAAGATGCATAAGATTGGAGAGAAGTGTGACCTGATCCAGGAAGGTGGGAGGATAACTGACCCTACCATAGATAAGAGGATGGACTTCCATTTCAATTCTATCCTTGATGTTGTAGCTGACTGGAGAAAAGACAAAAATCAGCATCAGGATGTTCCCCTTGGAGGTAAGGGAAAACCCTGTAGGGGCTACAGAAAACATCACGAGGACAGACACCATTTTAGACAGTGTGTTTCCCCTTCACTTTTCCATATATGGAAATACATCTTCTATTGAATTTTCCTGCCATGATGCTTGAATGTCTTGTCCAAAGGAAAAATGGGAATGTGTTTTTTGCAGACCTGCTTTATTCCTATGCAGATGAGATGGACCGATCAGTTAAAGCTCCTACAGTTAATCAAGAAAGTTCTTTAATCATGACAGCCTTAACATAATTACACCAAATTGCTGTATTTTAGTACATGTGGAGTACAGTACAGAACAGATTTTTTCTTACAGTTCTCTCAAATTCTAAAAAAAGATTTGAAACTGGAAAAGTTCATCTTTTACATTACATCTCTTTGTGGTGTAATTTTTCCAAATGTTTTCCAAATGTTTCCAAGAGCTTGTGGGATACTGGAAAAAAAGACAATTTTGTGTTAGGGTTGCAATGGCGGGGATAAAGTAGAGGGTGTGTATTTAATGTGGGTTGGTTCTGCTAGTCACCTGCCCATTTGTGATAGAAATGTTGCTATGAACTATTAGGCAAAGCTAGGCACTCTTAAATACTATCAGTTTTAGTGGAAAAGATGTTTGGCATGTGCTTAAAGCTGCTAAAATTGATCAGATTCAAAAGTCTTGGATTGTGCCACTAACATTTGTATATAATTAATTTTTTTGGAGGGGTGGAAATTAATTTTAAAACGTAATAAAAATATATACTTTTACTAATTGGGCTGCAGAAAAGAATGATTATCTAAGAAAAAATGGTGACTGGCTAACCACTGATTAAATGTATTATTATTTGCAGATAAAATCCAGGAAATCTATAAAGTTTTTATTCAGGAATCTGGTATTCAGTTCAATGAACTAGAGGAAAAAGTCCTTCAGTTCCATATCAGTAATCTTGAATATGCCTGCGGGAGTAACCTCCATGAGGTAAACGAAAAATGTTTGCTTGTAATGGTGGACCAGGGGTGAGCAATTAATTTCCATAGGGGGCCACATGAAAAATCTGAACTGTGTTCGGGGGCCGAACCAACTTTACTTAAAAATAAAATGAAACAGTGATGTTACGATTGTTTTTATTTTAAACTTGTTAATCTTCACAAATACTAAAGAGGTTTTTTGCGGTATGTTAAAGATAAGCAACTGATCAACTTGAGACAAAAAGCTATAAATGGTTTTGATGTTCAACTTGTTCAGTGAGAGAAATCCGGCCTGTCTTGGGCTTGAACAAGTGCTTGAACACCGGACTGGAGCGACGACCGGCGGCCCGGACAGGAGCGGCTCGTGGGCTGTATGTGGCCCTTGGGCCGCATTTTGCCTAGGTCTGCGGTAGATGTATCTGATTAATACATGTGTATATATGTAATTGTGGATGCAAGAACAATAAAACTCAGCCTTTAAAAAAAATGTAAATATGAGCTTTGATACATCTGGAAACAGATCCAGTTAGTTCTAGCTGTGGATTCTGGTAAAAAGGTGGAATGTCTCTACAGGGTCTGTTAGTAAGTTGGATTTACACAGCAAGTAAGCAGTGGAATCCATCATCACAGTACTATCACTGCCATCACATATATGCAAGAACAATAAAACTCAGCCTTTAAAAAAAATGTAAATATGAGCTTTGATACATCTGGAAACAGATCCAGCCAGTTCTAGCTGTGGATTCTGGGAAAAAGGTGGAATGTCTCTACAGGGTCTGTTAGTAAGTTGGATTTACACAGCAAGTAAGCAGTGGAATCCATCATCACAGTACTATCACTGCCATCACATGAGTATTTAATAGAGATGGGGGTATTCATATACGAATATCCCTGCACAGGTGGTGTTAACGAGGGTCCAGCCCCATGGGGCCGGACAGTCCACACACCAATCCGCCGCGGATGCAGACATACGAGGGTCCAGCCCCATGGGGCCGGACAGCCCACTCACCAATCCATCACAGATGCAGACATTGCAATTCTACCAATGGCTCCACAGTGCGCGATCCGCTCACCACTCCTGGCAGGTGACAGGAGGACAATCCTCACTGCAAGGTTGAAGAGTGGCAAGCAGATCGTGCACTGTGGAGTGATTGGTAGCTAAGGTTGAAGAGTGGCAAGCAGATCGCGCACTACGGAGTGATTGGTAGCTTTGGCGAGTGAACCGTCCGGTTCCATGGGGCTGGACCCTCGTTAACACTACCTATGCGGGGATATTTGCATACGAATACAGTACCCCCATCTCTAGTAGTTAATACTGACAAATGCTTAACCATATACCAGCTTTGTTGTATGATGTGAATGATTTGTCTCAGAAGCTACTCAGATTAAGCTGGATGTGAGTTACCACCCTGAAATGGTCTCCTTCTGTAGGCTAGCTTTTGGTCTGACAGATGCTCTGGACTGTGGGACTCTTTAAGACTTGGACTGTTGGTAATGGTGGGCAGGGCTCCTGAGATCTGAAGTTAAAACATCTTGAGAACCAGAGGTTGAAAACTACTGACCTTCACTGCAAGGGAATCCTAAAGCATCAGATGATCCTGGCCTGCCCAGATAAGAGCTTGAGAGTATGCCACAGGAGAACAGGCTCTTCAGTCTAGTTCACTTGAAAGAAAAAATAAGTCCCAATACAGTGATGCCTCACAAGACGAAATTAATCCATTCCATGGTTAATGCCGTCCAGCGAAGCACGCGTCTTGCGAAGCACACTTTCCCATAGGAATGCATTAAAATTTAATTAATGCATTCCTATGGGGGGGGGAGTAAGAAACAAAAAAATTAAGTCACTTATCAAGTACTGTAGACTGAGCCCGGCTCCTCACAGTGCCTTGGTAACCCCTGAAAAGCTGTAAAAAGAGCGCCAAACAGCTGAGAGCCTGGATCCAGCAGGGAGGCGGCAGCCATTTTGTGCTCTTCTCCGCTCCTGCCGCCCTCCCCACCTCACAGCTGATTGGCACTGGGTCTTAGAGGCTTCCCTGGGCTTGTCCAGCACTGAAAAAGGCAGGGAAAAATAGCTGGAAATAAAAAAAAATGGTGTTGCCACCGGGGAAGCCTCTGAAAGCGACCCTAGCCAGACCTATTTGTCTAGCGGGGTTTCGTGCCGCGAGACATTCGTCTTGCGAGGCACCACCGTATTTGTTTGTCAAGTATTGTAAATGGTGGATTCAGTAAGTGATGTTGTCTCTACAGGTTTCTGCACGTTCTTGGGACCACAATGAATTTTTTGCTCAGTTTGCTGGTGACCACACACTCTTAAGCTCAGGATACTCTGCTATAATTGAAAAACTGGCTGAACACTTGGACATTCGGTTAAAGGTTCCAGTAAGTATTTGGAGAGTGGTCAATTTGGTTTGCCTTGGAGTAATTCAACTTAACTTGGTTTGTTCCTCTTTGCAAAAGAATGAAAAACATAGATAAAATTTAATAGATTCAGATTTACTTATCTTGCTTTGATACAGATTAGTGTTTTTCCTGTGGCTTGCTATAATTGAATCTAGGACTTCTAATCTTACTCTAAATCCTTTCTGTGGGCTGAATCCAGAGATAGTTCTGCTTATAGGAGACTCTTTGATAAGAATGTTACGTTCGTAATCATAACTAAGTTAAATTCCATTTGTTTCAATGGGCAAAATCCTGTTGCATAGCATAGTAAATTGCACTCAAATTCCATTTGTTTCAATGGGCAAAATCCTGTTGTGTAGCATAGTAAATTGCACTCATGTAGGCACATTGAATTAATTTGGATTTGGTGAGTTAACTCCTGTGTATATTCCATTGATTCAACTGGCCCTAGTCTGTGACTTACTCTAGTACCAAGTAGGGCCAGTTGAATCAATGGAACCTGCAGAGGAGTTAATTCACCAAATCCCCATTGATTCAGTGGTGCCAATACAATGGAACCTGCAGAGGAGTTAATTCACCGAATCCCCATTGATTCAGTGGTGCCAATTAACTGCAATTTACTGTGCTAAGCAGCAAGATTTTGACCAATGGACCTACTGTAGGTAGTACTAATGTTCAATTTGGCCTTGTGTTCCATTGACTGAGTTTGTATGGAAGCTGGGATTCAGCATTGCATTCAGAAGCTTGTTAGCCTGATTGAATCCTTAAGTTGGTCTACTCTGACCTACCTGCTATTTCTGTTGTGCAACCAAGCAAAGAAAGAAACAACTTCATTTTTCTTAACTCACATGTAGCAATAAGCCAAGAATTGGAAAAATAATTATTATTACTATTTTTCTGATTCTTGGCTTATTGCTGCATGTGAATTAAGAAAAAAAATGAAAGTGAATAATAGTTTATTCCTCCAAGTTGTGCAGGAGGGAGGGAGGCAAGAGTAGTTTATGCCTGAGATTCTGTTTGTATGCTTAACACTAAATTTTGGCTTAGTGTTATGTACTAAGGCCACCTGTATGTTGCTGGAGTTTATTTTCACACGTAGAATGCAAGAAGGGTTTGTCTTGGGCTATGTATATTCTTGTTTATTTTTATCTCATGTTTCTTCCTGTGACATTAATGGACTCAGTGGATCACCTGCATCCCATTTTATACTTAAAACAACCCAGTAAGGCAGGCTGGGAGAAAGTGACTGGCTTAAGATCACCCAGTGATTTTCATGGCTCAGTGGGAAGTAAAACCTAGATATCACAGTCCAACACTGTAACCACTCTATTGCTCAAATCACTCCCAGCCAAAGAAAAATAATTCCCAGAATTTTGTCTGCTGCCACCTCTTCTTTGACCATTCACAAGTTGCTTATCCATGAATAGTTAATTTAACTCTGAACTTTAAGAATCATCTAACTGTTGGCTGTTTTCTCCTTGTATTTTTCACTACAACATCTTTTGCTTTTAAAAAGCAAATTGAAATGTATAGATAACAAAGATTTCTGCTGTCATCTTGTTATGCAAATATATATATTTTTTAAAAAAATCAGGTTCGTAGGATTGACTACTCAGGGGCAGAGGTCCAAGTGACTGCAACAGATGGAACTGTGTGGAGAGCCCAGAAGGTGATCACCCTCTTCCTTCTTCAGTTCTGTTAAATATTTTCTCATGTCCAAGAAAAGACCAGATCTTGCTTATGGTGACTCGTAAAACCTGCAACCTGATATTGAGGAGTTGCTTTGGTTTCAGTAAACAGAATGTGAAATTAAAGTATTTGAGCAGGATGGTACTATTTGCTTTCTTTCAAGTGGTAATCTACAGGCTACTACATCTCACCTCTATCCTACTATACTTGCTAGTCTTAATTCTTCATACATTCTTACACTTGCATGTACTTACAAAGTGTAAGGCTGAAGTCTGGAGCAGAGTGTCAGGTGGTGATAGGAGGGGAAGACCAGGACAATAACCTGGGGTTTTCCCCAGCCTCTCCAGATCATATATGGAAAAATAAATGAACTACCTCGCTTAACGATTTTAATTGGTGTCAAAAAATTCATCGCTATGGGAAAACATCGCTAAGCGAAACACGTTTTCCCATAGAGATGCATTGAAAACCGGATAATCCATTCCAATGGGAACGGATTGCCGTCCTTAAGCGAAAATCGCCATAGGAAACATCGCTAAGCGAAACGCGGTTCCCCCATTGCAATGCATTGAAACCATTTCAATGGGGGAGAAAAAAAATCACCAAAAATTCAAAAAGAGTCAGAACGAAGCCAAATTTGGCTAACAAAGGGTTTATTAAGTGCACTAACAAGTTCAAGCATTCTAAACCCTTTTAAAACAATTTAACACCTTTTAAAAATAGCGAAAACACAGTTGTCAAAAACATCGCCAAGCGAAACAGGGGGACCTAAACTGTCATCGTTAAGCGAAGCAAGGTCCTGAACATTGCTATGCGAAATTCCCCCATTGGAAACATCGCTAAACGGAGTGCAAGATAGCTCCAAAAACCTCATCGCTAAGCGAATACATCGTTAAACGAGGCAATCGCTAAGCGAGGCACCACTGTATCCTGTACACTAAGCATATGAAAATGTGTAAAGAGTGGCTCTAATAGGGTATTGTATTTAAAACTGTGTGGAGCCTTGTGGTCAAGAAACACTTCCAAGATGCTTCACGGTCCTCAGAGCACCTGACTCCTCATTGGTCACCCACAGCTTAGAGCCAGAAAATGCCATCTTGATTTCCTGCCCTGTCTTTAAAAGCCTTGCGGTGGAAGGGGACAGCTTGTCATTGTGTCTTTTTTCTACTGGTGACAGGGACTTTTAAGTGACCCACGGGGGATGATGGAATATTCTGTGTGTGTGGGGGGAGGGTTCCAACGTTTTTAAAAATGTGATTTTTTTCTTTATGTCTGCTTGGTTGGAATATATCCTTCTGCTGTGGTGTGGGAGACATGTATTGAGTCAGTGATGGGACTTTTTTTTCCTGGGCTGCAAATTGACCAGGAATTTCCCTAGGCAAAATCCTGGGAGATGCAGCCTGAAAACAGTAGTTTAAAAAGAAGTTTTTAGTTAAAAAAAAAGCCAAAAGAATGGTGATGCAGGCCCACCTGGAGATGAGAAAAGCTCCTCTTTAACAACTGTTTTGGTGCCACGTCTTCCGGAACTCTGCCTGTGGGAAATTCTTGATGAGCCCAGAGAACCGCCATGCAAAAGAAATATATGTTCCGTCCCTCTTGAGAAGTGTGGATCAGGTCAGCTTGCTCTGGAGTTCACAGAAGATCGCATTTGTTATGCATCCCTGCTGTACTATAATTAAAACTATTTTCTCCCATCAGGTTTTAGTAACTGTGCCTCTGGCAATTCTTCAAAAAGGTGCCATCCAATTTTATCCAGCTTTGTCAGAGAAAAAAATGAAAGCCATCAATAGCTTAGGAGCTGGGGTCATTGAGAAGGTACGAGTTCATCTTTTAGACGCATTCAGTGAAATGGAATAGGGAGCAGTAGCTTACTTTTGTCCCACTGAGCTTGTAAACAAGATCTTGCCGTCAACATTGTGAAGGTAGGCCATTGAGAAGGTACGAGTTCATCTTTTAGATGCATTCAGTGAAATGCAATAGGGAGCAGTAGCTTACTTCTGTCCCACTGAGCTTGTAACCAAGATCTTGCAGTCAACATTGTGAAGCTAGGCCTTTCATAGAATCATAGAAAAGTGAAGTTGTAAGGGGCCTACAAGTCCATCAAGTCCAACCCCCCTGCTCAGTGCCAGAATACAATGCAAGGCCATCAAGTCCAGCCCCCCTGCTCAGTGCCAGAATACAATCAAAGCATCTCTACCAGGTGATTAAGTTTTTCTTGTTTTAGTTACATATATTTGCACATCAAAGCTAGATAGATACAATGTGGCTTTGAAATGCAAAGTATATCATGTATCGAGCTGAATTGGAGCTGGACAACTTGGTGACTGTCCAGATGTTGTACTGCATTTCCAGCCAGCATAACCAGTGGTAGGAACTGAGAGGAATGGCAGGCTCAGCATTTACTCCTCTGAGGTAAATAATCCTGAAGGTAATACTGTATTTTTCCATGTATACGACCCCCCCCCAATGTATAAAACAACCCCCTAATTTTGACCCTTGATGGAGGTGGAGGAGGAGTTAATGGGCAACTGCTCCTCTGCCTCCGCCGCTGCTGTCTCCACTGCCCACCGGATCACCTTCTCCAGAGCGACTGCCTGGGCTCACCTCCAGCTCATGTTGCCACCTTGTCCCCTGCCCTAAGGAGATTGTTGGCGGAGGTGAGCTGGTGATGGCAGCAGGAAGAGGTGCCCAAGCACGTGTGTTTGTTTGCCTCTGCCTCTGCTTCCTGCTGCCTCCGCCACCAGAGGGGACAAGGCGCCAGTGTGAGTTGAGCCCCTCAGCCCCACTGGAGGTGGTGATTGGGCAAGCGGGGGAGGCAGCAGCAAGAGGCGCCTGAGCACGTGTGAATGCTCCTCTGTCTCCGCCTCCTGCTGCTGCTACCTCAGCCACCGGAGGACCTCTGGAAGAGGCAATTGGGCAGCAGCAAGAGGTGACTGCTTCCTTCCGTGTATAAAAACAACACTCAATTTTTACTTTACTTATTTTAGGGGAAAGTGTCATTTTATACACGGAAAAATACGGTAATCCTGATTGGTAAGAAAAGTCTGCTCACTATTCAACCTCAGTAAATCATATTGCAATCATATTAGACTAAAACTACACTGAAATTTACTTCTTCTATGCCACTTGAATCTCATACTCCACCATGTCGCAGTCCCACATGGTACCCACAATCTGCTTTGAAATTGTATAATTCAGCTGATGTGAGAAAGGCTGCACAGACTTGTTCCTGTGAAAACATCCTTTGATGTTTCAGGAGCAATCGTCCCTCAACCATATTTCTTATTTCAAAAGCAATCTTGCCTACATGATTAACTAAGCTTGTTACACTATTAACAGAGCTATACTAAAATTAGTGGTGCTGCCACTGAAAAAGTTAGAATGATTTTGGAGTGTTTGCTGTTCAGGCTGTATTGGTTTGCTGGCTATCATAGACTGGGAGAGTAGAAAAAAACTCTGACATGCATGTATACCTGGGAGTACTCAAAGTCTCACCCTTTAACACTGCACAGAACCACAGCCCAAACTGGCAAGGAGGTAATTCTTACCCTTTTCTTCTCTAGATTGCACTACAATTTCCTTACAGATTCTGGGATAGCAAAATTCAAGGAGCTGATTACTTTGGCCATGTTCCACCTACTTCTAACAAACGTGGGCTCTTCAGTGTTTTCTATGACATGGATCCGCAGGTATTTTATACTCTGCATGGAGAGTAATTATTGGCCATTCTTGTTCTTTGGATAAAAAAAGAGAGAGATTAACTTTAAAGCCTTTCCCTTCCCTCCTGCCTTTTAATATAGTTGTTGTAAAGTAATAATTTGACACTTCTTAAATGTACATGACACATGAAAGAATATTCTGTAGAATGTCTCCATGTAGAAAAGAGACTTTCTGAAATAGTGGGATTAATGTTAAGAATTAGGATTTTTTTTAAAAAATGAGATTAGTTTTTGACAACTTTTGATTTACGTTTTAAAAAGCTATCTTACATGACATACTTTTAAAAATGATGGCAAAATTGTTCTGCCCTCCCCTGTGCAATTCTTTTCAGTAAATTGTGTTCAGAAAGAATATCAGCAGTTTTATAGATTTACAAACATTAGTATAAAATAGGTTGTTACAAAGTTAAATACAGCATATAAACTTGTCTTTGTTTCTGTTTTAATCACAGCGCAAGTGCAGCGTCTTAATGTCTGTTGTTACTGGTGATGCTGTGGCAACTATTAAGAACTTAGATGATGAACAAGTGCTGCAGCGGTGCATGGCTGTTCTCCGTGAGCTATTTAAAGAACAGGTAGGCTCTTCTTGTTGAACTGACATGAATGTAGTATAGATTTAAAGGACTTCTCCCTAGAGAACACTTGGTCTTTTGCATGCAGGGGTGAATGAATCTGTTAGTTTTGCTGTCAGATTCACATTTTTTAGGCTTACATTTTTTCCATTTCCACACACTTTTACATGCAATGTCCATGCCCTTTTACATGTTTTGCAAACAATTCCCTTTCATATAAAGGCATTATTTTATTCTGTTGTTTTACTACAGCTTTTAATATTGCTTTTATTTATCAGTTTTAATACAATATCTGTTTAATGCTTTTAAAATATTGTAATAATTTATTATCCAGTTTTTAACTTTTTCTTTTAATATGGTGAGCTGTCTTGTATCCTTTAGAAGTCAAGTGGTATATATTTTAAATAATAATATAATAAATATAATGCATTCTTATTAGTTATATTTACTAACATCCTCTTTCCTGTGCCCACTTTCTCATGTTCTTTGATTGAACAAACTGCACCAGAGTACTGACAGAGTTCTGACTTCTGTCCTCTGAAGATGCCGGCCACAGAGACTGGCGAAACGTTACGAAGAACAACCCTCAGCACACGGCCAAAGAGCCCGAAAAACCCACAACAACCATCAGATCCCAGTTGTGAAAGCCTCCGAGAACTCATTATTTTTCTTTGTCTCTGCAATGCAGGAAGTACCAGACCCAGTGAAGTACTTTGTTACTCGATGGAATAAAGACCCTTGGATCCAGATGGCATACAGTTTCATAAAGACAGGGGGCAGTGGCGAAACTTATGACATCCTTGCAGAAGACATACAGGGAAAAATCTTCTTTGCTGGCGAGGTGAAATTTCAGTTAAGCATATTGTTTAACAAATAAGATATAAGCTAGGATAGGGCAGAAGGCATATGAGCTCTGGGGGGCATTGTTGAAAGCCAGTGACTTCTATCTAACTTGGATTCTGATTTGGAACCTCGGTAAAGCCTAGACCTTAAAATCCTATAGAAGTGGAAGAAGTGATTATTTTAGTCCACAGTGGCTCTTCAGCATATTTTGGAAGCCATGTTTCTAGCTCTTTTCCGCTGGAACTGTTCAGCTACAGGTTATCAGGGACTGCACTTTAGCTCATATATGTGCATAGACTTCTTTCAGCCTCACGCCAGGCCCGGTTTGGGGGCCAAATGCTCCGTTGCACTGAATGATGCAGCCAAATGTGGTAAAGCATGTCAGGGAATAAAATGGAAAGAAGTTTCTTCCGAAATGTTCAGGAACACAGGATATTACTCACTATGGTGTCATTGTGAACCTCATGAGGAAACTGGGAAACACAATTTTGTCACTGTTCTGCTCTCACCTGACAGGTAGTTCTAGATGTGTTGGGGGATTGCTGTTCCACCCTATAAAAGTCAGCATGAGATTAGCACAAGGTTCAATCTTGTCCCCTCTCCAAACTGCAACAGGATTTTGCTTATTATTTAATATTAGACATGGGAGATTCATCTTTGTCTCCCGAACTAGATGAAAATGAATCTCTCCAGCACAGATGGTTGGCCTAATTAACACCCACCGCCAGAACCCACCAGTCCACTTGCTGCTTGCAGTGCAGCATGCGTGGCTGGCATCAACAACAGTGCTCCAATTGTGGCAGTAGTCCAGCTGGCATTGCCCCACCTCCCTGGGTGAGGAGACTCATCATCCCACCCCCTTGCTGGAGTGGCTAGCGGAGCAGGGAGGTTGAGCAGCACCAGCGCGCTGTTGATGACACTGGCTGTGTGGACTGTGCAGCAAGTGGTAAGTGGACTGGTGGGTTCTAGGAATGGGTGTTGATTGGACCAGCCACCTGAGCTGGTGAGATTAAATAGACCATGTCTATTTAATATCTTCATGCAGCTGCAGGGAGAAACTATATTGTAATAACATTGTTATTTGAAGTCATCAATATGTTGAAATTGTTATTTTTTCTTTGCTCCCCTAAACTCGAAGGTAAAATTTATTGTTATAAAATGACATATTATATACATATGACTTCAGCAGGAGTTTTGGCCTTAGGCTTATTTTATCACCAACTTATTCAGTATGAATGCCACAATGTCTAATATGAAAAGAATCATAACCTTGGAAAACCAGAATATATTCATGGCTTATTTTCAATAAGCTGAAGATATATAGGTTATGCCATCTGTAGCTTATGGGTACCATGTGTCTAACTAATGCAGTTTTATTTTTATTTAAACTAACTTGTCTCTCCAATTCTTTTTCTTTTTTAAAAATAGGCAACAAACAGACACTTTCCACAGACAGTTACTGGAGCTTATTTGAGTGGAGTTCGAGAAGCAAGCAAAATAGCAGCATTTTGAATTCTGAAGTACAGTTTAAAGACTTTTTATAATTTTCTCTAGTTTGAACTCAACTTTCAGGTTATTTTCCTTGCCTGAAGTGGTGCTGAGGTCCGTGGTACCTAAAGAGACAATAGCTCCATTGTTTTGCCGTTGTTCTTCCCTAGTTTCTTCATCTTCTAACTTCTGTAGATGCAACATTGCTTACGTTTTATCTGTACAACATACTGAGGTTACAGTTACTTATAACTGACCTCTTTGTGGTCCATTTGAGGTAGCTAATTCTGTAGAATGGAAGACTGGAATATAGATTAATAATTGTGGTAGGTGGAAAATAGTCCCTGTACAGGTAAAGGATAGACTGAAATAAAAATGGTCAGTGTCTGGTGATATTTGGAAAGACGGGAAAAAGCAGAGACATATTCCTTTTAGATTGATCTGCAAGAGAGGTTCACAAACCTATGTTCCTGTTGGTGGTCTCCATCTTTTTTCGAATGAAAAACAACACCCCACCATAAAATAATCTATAAAGAATCTGCCTTTATTTTCACCCACATGAAACGTTATCTTGCTGGAATACTAGAAAATTACTACATCTGGTTAGGCATCCTTCAGTCTCGAGAGACTATGGTAACGTGCACTGAATAGAGGTCTTGGAACAGCGTCTAGTGTGGCTGAGAAGGCCAATTCAAGAGTGACAATCCCTTCCACATTTAAGACAACCTGTCCCCTGTCCAGCTCCCTGATTTTGCTGGTTTCGGGACTGCCTCTTTGCCTCAGCCTGCTGGACAAATGTCTCTTCAAATTGGGAGAGGCCATGATGCACTGCCTGCCTCCAGGCTGAACGCTCGTATGTCAAGGTTTCCCATCTGTTGAGGTCCATTCCTAAGGCCTTCAGATCCCGCTTGCAGATATCCTTGTATCGCAGCTGTGGTCTCCCTCTGGGGCACTTTCCCTGGACTAATTCTCCATACAGGAGATCTTTCGGAATCTGACCATCAGCCATTCTCACGACATGCCCGAGCCAACGTAGACATTGCTGTTTCAGTACATAGGACAAAGGCTCTATAGACCTGGATCTTGGTATATGCCGTCAGCATCTTATTAAGCCATACTCTCTTTGTGAGTCTAGAGCAGAGGTCTGAGGCCCGGTGCCAGTCTGTGGCCTGAGCCAGACGGGGTCCCCAAGACAGACCTCCCGCCCCACCACTCACCCCTGCGCAGCCCATTTGCTCCTGCGTGTATGCTCCAGCATGCCCGTACAAGCGCTGCACCGCCATTTGCGCATGTGCACGAATGCATGTGTGCCCAGACAAGCGCCGCACCACCATTTGTGCATGCACACATGCTTGGTTGCGCATGTGCATGAGCACAGGGGTGCCCCGCCTTCCCCAGCCAGTCCACGGACCGAAAATAGTTGGTGACTGCTGGTCTAGAGAATGTGGTAGCTGCTTTGCCAATGCATTTATCCAGCTCAACATCTAAGGAGTGTGTCAGAGATCATTGAGCCAAGGTACACAAAGTCATGAACAACCTCCAATTCTTGTGTGAAGATGGTAATAGAGGGAGGTGAGTCCACACCCTGGCCCATGATTTGCATTTTCTTCAGGCTGATTGTTAAACCAAAGTCTTGGCAGGCCTTGCTAAAGCGATTCATGAGTTGTTGGAGGTCTTCAGCAGAGTGGGCAACAACAGCTGCATGATTGGTGAAAAAGAAGTCCCACATGCATTTCAGCTGGACTCTGGTCTTCGCTCTCAATCTAGAGAGATTAAAGAGCTTTCCATCTGATCTAGTCTGGTGATAGACCCCTTCTGTTGCAGTTCCAAAGGCGGTGCTTCAGCATGACAGTAAAAAATATCTCAAACAGGGTCTGCGTGAGAACACAGCCCTTTTTCACTCGCTTCAGCTGTCAAAGGGATCTGATGTGGAGCCATCAAAAACTACAGTGTCCTTCATTCCCTCATGAAAGGACCTGATGATGTTAAGGAGGTGGACATCCAATCTTGGGAATTATTTGAAAAAGGCCATCCCTGCTAACCAAATCAAAGGCCTTTGTGAGATCTATGAAGGACACAAAGAGTGGCTGTTGTTGTTCCCTGCAATTCTCCTGCAACTTCAAGCACTTGGGCAAATTCCTCCACTTTTCTTTGATCGCGAGTCTTGCTGATGTCAATACATGGTCTTCCTTACTTTTTCATGTCATACAATCTCTTTTCTCACAGTTTTACTCTACTACTCATCAGGGAGTGATCAGTATCACAAACAGCACTATGGTAACTGTGAGTGATCGTAATACTAGGAAGGCTAGAACTTCTCGTGAGGATCAAATTGAGCTGATGCCAATGCTACATGCTGATCATGTAAATGGAGTAGCAAAAATGTCAAATTTTCATTTATGTGCAGAGAAATTTTGAAATCATAGGATCTGGGTGAGTATAATCATTTTTATATGTATTATAAACATACTAAAGATCCAGCAGTTCTTTGAGTCATACAGCACTTTTTCTGAAAAGTGAGGTCAATGATTGATTTCTTTGAAAGGTTAAAATCATGTAGCATCATTCAGACCACAATTAAGCATTGGTTTTACTGGCATGGAGTAGATATAGCTTTGCTAAAATCAATGCAATTTGAAAGTACTTCAGAATGACTGAATTGTATTCTTAAGTATGAAAATGTTTTAAGTGGTCAGAAACCCGGTTGGGAAAACTTTTATTTATATTCTAGTGAAGCAGCATGCAAAGTAATTAAACCATTAAATGACTGAAGGTATTCATGCATACAAACAGTATGCCACTTAAGTTTTACTTTTCGTCTTTCTCCTGAGAACGTAATAAGTTTTATGCTTCTGCTTTCTAAAGACTGCTTCAGAAAATGTGTGATTTGAAAGTGTTGATCCTCTTTTGTGGTTTGCAATAAAAATACAATATAATTCTGAAATACATTAAGCCGTGAATAATATCTTGATTTATATGATCACAGGATGAAAGCTTGAGAAGTGATCTTCTCTTAAGAGACTATCTTTTTTTAACAGCTGTTACATCATTAAGTCACAAAACAGGTGGAATGTAAAGCATGCTCAGTTTTTTATTGTGTATATACAATTAATGCTATGTAAATCTAGGACAATATTTTTAAAAGACAGTCTTTTTGCTGTGGGTAAACTGACTTAATAGCACTGTAATAAAAAATGGCGAAGGGCTCTAAGTTTAATAAATTGTCCTGTATGATGCCTCAACCACCTCCTCATGGATCTGCCACCATGCTTCCAAAACGCCACTTGATTTCATTGCTCTCTAGCCTAACCAGTAAACTTGCAGTCTGTCATCCAATCCCAGGTGGGTTCCCCATCCTGTTGAGTCAGCATACACCCCAACCCACTGGATGATGTATCCACACTGATTTACTTTGGGGAAGATAAAATAAAGGAAGACTACTTGTGAGCAGATGCCCCCACCCTGATGTAGGCATTGTATGCTCCAGATTTCCCACCGCCCTGTTGCCCTTATGCATTCTGTAGTAAATCGAAGCTCTGCAGCGGCAGTGGTAGCTCCAGTCTGGAAGGAATGAGTTCCTGGCTGCAGCATGCAAGCTGCAAACACTGCCTGCATGACCCTGACAGACTAGAATTTGATGAGGGGCTGCCTGTTGGTGTGTACAAACAAGAGGCCAGGCTGCCATGGGTGGGCCTGTAGGGATTCTTTTAGGGCTCTAACTGTGCTGTTTTCCTTTCCCTCTCTGGTCTGCTTTTGAGTTCATCAAATGAACTATGTTCCTTTTCAATAGGGTGTGCCTGGAGTTATTGTTTGCTGAACTAACTACTGCCTTGCTAATCCCAAGTCCTTCAAACAATGTGCTGGTAAAGGCCATCTTAAACAGCAGTGTCTGAAACTTTGACCAACATATATGCAGTAAGGCCATAAACAACCCAGTATGTGCGGTGTGATGGGTTTTCTGGTATCAGGGGCTGTTGGAGACAATCTTTGCCACTCCCGCAGCTTGCTGAAAAACGTGATTGCTGCCAAGCAGGCCATGATTGCCCTGTGTTCAGCCCTTCTAGCACAAAACCGTTTTCTGATACTGGCAATTCATCCGAACCCGAATTAAGGCTTCTCAAATTCCACAAATCCTAACCCTGCCTGTATGACCTAAGTGTGGAGGGACAACTGAGTTCAATGCTCCTTCTTCCTAAGATCCCATAGTTTGGGTGGAAATGGGTTTGGGTTCTGCTGTACTTCCAGGGCCAACAATCAAAATCTGCTATCCTAAAATTGAGAAAGGCATCTATAGTGGTGTTATTCACACCTCATAGGTCTTATGTGGAAAACACAATGTTTTCCTCAAAACATGTCAGAACAAATTTGCGTACCAGTCGCATTACCTGCTCAGAATGTGATGTCTGTTGATTACTCTGATCACTGCAATATTGTCACACATAAACCTGACCTTTTGATTCTGAAGCAAATTTTTGTTGCAACTGTCTAGAACAGTGCTTTACACTAATGGGGCTGTATATAAATAGAATTAGAGATGGGCAAAAAGCAAAAAACTAATTGCAAAATTAATTGAAAATTGCTAATTTGTTGATTTGTAGTCTGACCCCAATGAATACAAATCAATTTTTTTAGCAATTTTCCATTTGTCGATTCATCTACCCAGTTAATGCTGTTTTTGCCTCCCTCCCCGGCCATCTGCAGCCTGCTCCGAAGCTTTAGGCAACCTTGGGAGGGACCTAGGGACTCCTGAATGTGCAGGTCAGGCAGCCAAACACACGGCTCAAAGGGCTCTAGGGCAATGGCTCATTAAGAGGCATTAGAAGTAGTTTTTTTGCAGTCATTTTGCTGCTGTTTTCTTCTGAGTGGTTGCTGGTATTTGTGAGTTCCTCTGTTTTAGGGGTAGGAAATTAGAGCACCTGAAAATGAAGGGCTGTTGAGTCTCAAAGGGGAAGAAGGCTATCATTCAATCAGCCACCACTGTTCCTTCCCATTCATCAGGGGATGCAGGTCCTCCTGTAAAATATTCAGGTGGGCTTGCAGGTGGAGGTGGAGGTGGAAGCACAGCTTCCTCAGGTGCCTGAAGAGCAGCTGCTTTTCATTGAGAAATTGGAAGTGTTACTGGTTTCACAGGATTCAGAATCCTCCCACTCCTCTGAACCAGAAGTGACAGGGTATGTTTCTCCACCACAACCACCGTCCCCAGATTCCTCTCCTAGCAGCACACAATCCTCCCAGACCAGCAGTAGACGGGGGCAGTCAGAGGCCATTGTTCAAAACATGGCAGAGGATCCCTATGGGACAATTTTCCCATGGTCAATGATGACCCATGCATGGTGTGTTGAGATGTCTGCCTTGCCATGATCTGCAGGGGCTCCAACCCCAGACATCTGTCTTCCACTGCCCTCTGCCAATATCTGCAGAGGCACCACCCTGCAACTGTTGGGGGGGGGAGGGAGGAAGAGACCAGTATTGAGGGGGTCCAATGAAGGGAAGCCCTTTCACTGTTAATCTTGCCAAAAGGACAGCCCATACTGCTGTGTACAATGACACTTGAGGAACATGCAAAAAACAATGCCTGAGAATGGCCTTGCAATGTCTCTCCTAAAACAAGCAGAGGTGGTTAAATTGATGTTCCATGCACTAAGAAAATGTTCCATACCATTAAATTTGAGTTAACTTTTGCAATGATTCCCCACAGTGCTTCTAGCTAGTCACTCACACAAAGGCTCTCCCTTCGGTTTTGTTGTGGCACCTGGCTAAGAGATGCTGCAGTGCTGACAAAAATACTGGCTGCTAGCTGGAGATGCAGCCCCGCCCCACTGGGACAACTGCTTTTCTTGGTTATCTGTGACAGCCCCTTGTCTAGGTAAAGGTTCTCCTTGACAATTTGTCCAGCTGTGCCTGACTCTAGGTGGTGGTGTTCATCCCCGTTTCCAAGTCTTTGTCTGTAGACAGTTTCCGTGGTCACATGGCCAGTGCGACTAGACACGGAACGCCGTTACCTTCCCACCATAGTGGTACCTATTTATCTAATCACATTTATATACTTTCGAACTGCTAGGTTGGCAGGAGCTGGGACTAGCAACAGGAGCTCAATCCATCGCGTGGATTCAAACTGCTAGTCTTATGACCTTGCAGCCCAGAAGTTTAACCCACAGCACCACCACATCTGGGTCTACCCTCTTGCTTAATGCAGTAATACTGTATACTGCCTGACAGGGGTGCCATTCCTCTGAATTCTTTGCACAAGTTACACGAGGGTGTGGTTAAAAAGAGCTGTCACATTTGTGCTCAAATTCACATTTCCCTTGGTTGTACTCCCAGCACACCTCTCTTGGCCAGCCAACCAACTGATAACCTGTCTCACTTTTTCCTTTTATATTAGGGCCAACTACGACCAGCCATAATTTATTGTTGATTAAACTGCTGCTATGTGAGGTGTGTCGGAGGGGACTGTGATTGGAGCACACTGGCCACATGGTTGCTCAAATGCCACCCCCTTTCTGGATATACACAAACTGCACCACCTCTATGAAGACAATATCCCATGATAGTTTCATTCCCCCACCCCCACCGGCTCTTCCTATAATGCTATGTCCTCCTTTCCTTTGCTTCTGGCTTCAGTAATTTAAACAGATTCACATAACCTCCATTTAACATTTCCTTCCACAGCTTTTTGGATCCCTAGAGGATCCTCATTGTCACTTGCTTCCTGAGGGTGGGGTTGTACTGCATTCGTACTGCCTGTGGCCCATACTGCTTCTGGTCCTGTCACAGCTTTTTATTGCCCCTCTTTCCCGTGCATGACCCAATCAGAGAGACCTGGGACATGAGCTGCTGCCTGCCAATAATCCTCATCCTCTTCACTGTCCAATGAGGACTCACCAGATGCTCCAATCTGTTTGACTCCTTACTTCTTCTGCTGTGCCACCTCTATCTTCTTTTCTTGGTCACGCCTCCCCTCTTTCTGGCGAACACTCACTGCTGGAGGAATCCTCACGAGATGACAGTGCCAGGAGTCCTCCTTTCCTCTGCCTCCATCTGGCATGGCCCTTGCTTTCTCATTAAGCTCCTTCTCTGTCTGATTTGTGCTAGCCTCTGCCTGCCGCTGAGGCCTGAGCTGCTCAAGCCTCTAAGCCAGCTTTTCACCTGTCTGACACGGGCTGAGTTGCACAGTGTGGTTCATCACCTGCTGTGTTGCTGCACCCCTGGCATTAGCTGGGTCTTAGACTGGGAGGTCTTCCTGGGAGTCCTCGTTTTCTTAACCTTCTCTTTGTTTGGGCCCTCTGCCTGAGGTTCCCCTGAAAGCACACTTTACACATGCAAAAAGTTGTTGGCTTGCACATAAATTCTGAAATATCACTATACTAGCCTGGCTCCTCCATCACAGCTCTTTTCTGCCTCAGCCTCTGGGCAAGGTATTCTTTTGTTGGAATTCATTGAGAGCAGAATTTTTTGCTTTAAAAAAAAAAGGCCTTTTAAGGAATGCATACTTAAAAACAATAGTCAAATAAGCAAGTGTGTGGCGTACACTTCTAACATTGAAAGCCTAATTTAGGGAGTATTATTTACTATACAGATCTGTTTACTTTTGTACTTTATTAAGCAAGGAAAGCTTTTTCTAGATGACACACAAAAGGCACCTTTGGTTCTTTAGCAAGTTTTACTGTACATGTATCGAAATATCAAAATATACATTTTTCTTAAAGACATTTATTGAATACAAAACTCAGTTACACTCAGCCTTAATATAAAGGATTGCATGCAAAGAAAATGTAAAAATGGGAAAGACCCATCAGCCTAAGTGGCTGAGTATTTTCAGAATATAGATCTATAATCTTTGATTTTTCAACCACATTACTATTACGTATATTTAAAACCTGTAGTTTTAATCAATACAGTCATGAAGAAATTGGTAACACTTTACATTATGACACATAATTATTTGGCATTTATTGAGAGCATTAATTCATGATTATACCTTTATTCACAAAACAGTTTTGTAGGCAGGTACTTAATTCTGGAGTTCATTAAAACTTCATGCATAACTGGGCAAAATTAAATATTAATTGTACTTAAAGCAGACCCACTGAAATTAGTGAGACAATCGAACTAAGCCCAATTGGTTTTAGTGGATCATTTCTAAGACCCAGTGAATGACAATATACTGCATTTAGGCCAATACGTTTAGGCATCCATCTTCCCATTTTTGAGTACATTTATTTGAGACAGAGCCACAGGAATAACAAACTGTCCAGCTCATACCACGAAGGTGATAAGGCTCTTTTCTGAATATATACTCCTACACAAGGGAGCTTTATTTTCCAGGGATCCTGAGCGTGTATCACTCAAGACCAACAGGAACACATACTGAACACGGTCATTCAGAAATATTTGTTCCTCATCAGGATGACTGGTTTTAGATATATTTATTTTTCCTATGTATTAGCTTTAATGGGGATATCAAATAAAACTTCTTAGATCAAAGGCCTGTACTTGGAGGAACACTAAACAATATGTGCAGTTAAGAATGTTCTTACTAGACAAGCAATGCCATCTCCTTTGTATGGTACTTGATTCCTAATTAGTCACATTTCATGAACACTGGTCATAAATTCTCTAAAAACACAGATTTTTCTTTTTTAAACAAGTTAATTTTAAGGAAAGCTTATATACAAACAGAAAGTTTTAAAATGTAGAAAAATAAGTTCTGCGAGTTACCATGCTTTGACAATGCTCTGATGTATATTTATGCAAGCTAGTTTAGCATAATTTAGAGCATTTGTAGTCAATACATGTTGCTAGCTGGGGGAAATGGGTAGGCATTCAAAATAAATGTAATGCCCAATACTGCAGTATTTGTCGGTGTCAGCATATGTTTGTACAGACATAACTTTTATTTCAACTGATTTTTAAAAATTATCTGCACTACAATGCACTAAAATCTACAACAACTATAGTAGAGCTGTTTGCACAAAGAAATTGCATGATGTACAAAGTAAAAGCAGGGAACATTTACTGCCATGCAAAACCTAAGAACTGCATTAAACTCTATTTCAAAAAATAATCTCCATTAACACTCAGAACATTAAGCCAGTGCAATCATCCCTGACTAAATTCTAGGTGATATCAAATGGGAAAACCAAAAATAAAAACAAAAATGTTTTTGCTGGTGTTTGTAAAATATTTAAATCGACGGGATCATGTCTGCAGCCTTCATTTTTGCCCCATTAGATCAGGAAATGAGCTAAAAAAAAAGAAAAGAGTTTCTGTAGTTTTAAATATTTTACCTCCTTTGTCATCCCTCCTTCCCACAAACACTTTCCAGGGGTTGTAATTCTGATAGTTTTCCTGGAAAGAAGTTCTAGGGAAATAATGGAATTTACTTCCAATAAAATATTGTTAACACATAGACCAAAATTAACTAAGATTAAAGTACAACTAAACAAACAACTACAAAATTAAAATTAGGCACACTAATGCGAAAATTCAGAAGCTCTATTTAGTATTTGAAATCTTCCAACGACCCAAGATTTCCAAATTCAAAGAGTAGCTCTAGTATCTGGATCATCACATGAAGAAATATTTACCTCTTTCACTGTCTCTTTGATGAAGTCTTTCCTGTCAGACAAATCATAATTGGGATAGCTTTCATATACCTGTAATCAAATTAACACAAGGATTAGTCAGGTTGTTCATAAACACTGAAGGTAAAATTAGATACACCAGGGTCTCCTACATTTCAGAAGGAGCATAAAAGACCAGGAGGATCGAAATTTGCGTGTGACTACTAGGGGATTTTGCTTGTAGCATCTGACTGAAAGATTAAAACCTACTATTTGTGCCACAAACGTTATAGTCAGCGCAGAGCTAATTATACTGGTGATACAGTAGGACCCTGTTATCCACAGAATAAGTATCCACTGATTCACTTCTCCGCTGCCTGAAAATACTAATTTTTATTTAATTTTTTAAAACCAGGGTGTATTTACCAGAACTGACCAATAGAGCAAGTCAGAGACCAGACAATTTGTGGCCTTTGATACAGTGGTGCCTCGCTTAGCGATCGCTCCGTTGAGCAATGAAATCGCCAAAAGTCCATCGCAAGAGCAATCGCTTTGTGATGGCCCCTATGGTTAAAATTCGCTTTGCGATGATCGTGGGGAAGCGATAATGGTAAAGCGAAGTTTTTTAAACAGCTGATTGCTGTTTCCAAAATGGCTGCCACAAAAATGGCCGCCGCTGTTTTGCCTCGCTGTAGAGGCACCCAAAATGGCCGCCGCTATGTAGGACATTCGCTTTAAGGTAAGTTTTTAGCCCATAGGAACGTATTAAACGCGTTTTAATACGTTCCTATGGGCTTTTTAAAATCGCTTAGCGATGAAATCACTTAGCAATGTTTTTTCCGGAAGGGATTAACATCGCTAAGTGAGACACCACTGTACTTCCTTGTTTTTTGGCATATGTTGCAGGAAGTGACTTCTAATCGACCCCCCCCCCCAAGATACTGTGGTCCTACTGTTTTATGTATCAATTCCTTTTTCTTAACACAAGGTACCATATTTTTCCGTGTATAAAACCACACTTTTCTCTTAAATAATTAGACAAAAACTAGAGGGTCGTTTTATACACATAAGGCAGCCGCTTTTCCCTGCCTTTTGCAAAGCCACAGGGCTTACCAAAAAAGGAAGGGAAGGCTCCCTTCAGGTAAAGCAGCCATGAAAGGGCTGCACAATCGCAGCCCTTCCATCAATGCTTTACCCGAAGGGAGCCTTCCCTTCCTTTTTGCTAAGCCGAGTGGCTTCGCAAAAGGCAAGGAAAAGCAGCGGTTACTTTGACAGCCGCTTTTCCTTGCCTTTTGCGAAGCCACGGGGCGTAGCAAAAAAGGAAAGGAAGGCTCCCTTTCTTTTTGCTAAGCCCCATGGCTTCACAAAAGGCAAGGAAAAGCAGTGGTCAAAGGGAGCCCTTTGATCCCTGCTTTTCCCTTCCTCTTGCTAAGCCCCGTGGCTTAGCAAAAGGAAGGGAAAAGCAGGGATTAAATTTTCTAATTTGGAGTTAGAAAAGGAGGGTTGTCTTATACATTGGGTCATCTTATAAATGGAAAAATACGGTAACCTTAGCAATGAGCTTAAGGTTCAGCTACTTCTCCTTCCCTGCCCTATTTACGACATCCATGCATGAAGATGAGAATACCAGAATGGAGAAAAACCTCATTAACTGAAAAGATGAAAATGCATCTTTCTTTCTTGGACAAAGAAATGATAACCTCAATAATGTATCATAGGGGACATCTTTTCCTAAACAAATGAAACATGTATGCATGTATGTATGAATTTGATTGATATACTGCCCAATTAGTGCAAACATTACCCTAGGCAGTTCACAGATTATACGTAAAACCCATAAAACAAAATAAAAAGAGAAGCATAGGCAGAAAACTCTGGGAAGCCCTGCAGAAGCAAAGATGATGATGCTCGATGTGGCATGCAGGCAGAGCACATGCTCTGTATAGGGGTATTAAAAATGTGCAATACCAAGGACGTGACCCAGCAGTAACTTAGCTGCAAATCAGAGATCTGAACGATAACAGTCAAATATCTCTTAAGGCAATCTAGATTGTCCTCCTAATTTTTAAACAAGGTTTTTGGACACTAGAGGGCATGTGGGAGCTTTTATCAAGGAAAAAAAAGGTATTTGCGAAGGCTTTCAAAGCCGCGATCTAATGGTTGTTGTGGGTTTTTTGGGCTCTTTGGCCGTGTTCTGAAGTTTGTTCTTCCTAACGTTTCACCAGTCTCTGTGGCTGGCATCTTCAGAGGACACATCATTCTGGTGTGGATGCAAATCGGAACTGGTAAGCTCAGTTTCTCAGCACTGAACTCAACCATTTGAATTGGGCCCTACAAGCAAATGGCTACTCCAAAAATGAAACCACAAGAGCCATCAAACCAAGAAAACAACACCAAACTGAAAAAGAAAAACAGCCACTCACAACTAAAGTATTCCTGCCATACATCAAAGGGGTCACGGACCGCATGGGGAAACTTTTGGAAAAAACACAACCTACAAACAGTATTCAAGCCCACCATAAAAATACAACAAATGTTACGGTCAGCAAAGGACAGAAGGGACCCGCTCACCGCTGCAGGAGTATACCGGAGTTGTGGCCAGGTATACATTGGAACCGCAAAACGAAGCATCCACGCCAGAATCAAAGAACATGAGAGACACTGCAGACTAAAACAACCAAAAAAATCTGCAGTAGCTGAACATGCCCTAAAACAAGCTGGACATGAAATTCTATTTCAAAATACTGAAATACTGGACAACGCCAGCACTCATTACATCAGACTGCACAGGGAAGCCATTGAAATCCACAAGCACCAGCAGAACTTCAACAAAAAAGAGGAAAGTTTGAAACTCAACAAAACTGGGCTTACAGCTCTGAAAAATACAGCGTGCAAAAGGTCAACGCCCTCTAGCCAGCCACAAGGACCGGGGATCACTACACACAAAAGACCAGCTAATGACACCCATCAATCGCAGTGACAGATAATATCTTCTACTTATCACAACAATACACCCACAACAGACACACTAATCACCCATCTCCTGAATAGGACAAAAGCCTATCTCACAGCCATAAACACTGCACTCCCAAGCCAACTACACCAGAGCACAGAGAGCTGTTCTCTGAAGATGCCGGCCACAGAGACTGGCGAAACGTTAGGAAGAACAACCTTCAGAACATGGCCAAAGAGCCCGAAAAACCCACAACAACCATAAAAAAGGCTTTTAAAAGAAAATTATTTGTGGTATGGACAGGGCATGGGAACATGCACAGCTCTTCAAAGTCCAGTTGTGGGTAAACACAGTCCTCAGTCCGCTGACAATTGTCCACCATGCTATGGACAAAAACTATCCAGGACCACCACTGTTGGATTCAGCTTCATGTTTTACCACAGTACACAGTTTCCCATAATCTTTCCAGATTACTTTTTTGCTCTTCTGCTTAAAAGCTGGGTCTAATTGACCATTTTAAAATGATATTTAAACACACACACACAAACACATTAAGAGGCGAAAACATCCAACAGTACTGAAAACATCTTACAAGGTCTAACATGCTCAGGCACATAAAAGAGATCTTTACCTGCCACTGAAAAGATTAAGATCGTGCAGCACTTGAACTGCTCTATGTAGAACATTCCAAATATATATGAAGCCGAGAAGGAGAGATGCCTCAACAAGGAGGCCTGGGTCACCATTTACTCATCGCAAAATTATACATCTGTACTCTGAGGTCTCCAAATACAAAACGCAATATAACCATGTTACCAAACGAATGTCCAAAACCCACCTTTTTACAAATCTGCTTCATAGTAACTTCCTCTAAATTTGCATTAGCCAGTAGCTTCTTCACTGTTTCTTTCAAGTCTTCATCTGTAGGTGGCTTTTTCAACTTTTTAATTAACGGCTCATCATCTGAACTATCTTCAGATTCACTTTCTAAATGTAAGAATATTTTGTCATTAAAACAGAAGCAATGACAATTAATCTTCCCCACAAGTCAGTGTTTTGGCCTAGATCCAAAAATGTACAAAACTAGTTGCTCTCAAGAGCGCTTTTGACCCTGAATTTTTTTAACAGCAGCTTCTTGTATCACATAGTATATCTGTTTCCAAATTTCAAGAGAAACTTATGAAGTTTGTGGTTTCCCCTCCCTTTGCTCCCATTCCAGCCCACAATTTCTGATCTTCCAACTCAATCCTTAGCCTAAGATTTCCTTCTCCCTAGAAATGACTGTTCATTTTCCCTTCTGTCCTGTATTTCTGAGACATACTCCAATACATCTACATGAGGACCTCTTGTCTCCCCTTCAAACATATCCTCAAAATCCATTTTTATTACATATTCTCCATCTTAACATACTCCTGAAACTTTAAAAAGTACATGTAGCTATATTTATATGTAATTCTCCTGTTGTCCCAGTGTTGCCCCCTGCCTACATCTGTCAGAATCCAGACTAAATTCCTTGGGCCATGGATCTGTTTTGTATATGTTCCCCTGTAAAGTGCTGTCTACACACTGGTAGCACTATCACATGGGTGAGAATCATATGGCCCCTTAAAGCACACCTAACTTTTGGTACCGAGTCTAAAAAAAAAAAAACTTGCGGGGGGGGAAGGCCTGCAGCAGTTTACCATCAAAAAACACAAGCAGACTTGCTTTACGTTTTCCATCCATTGCTACTGAATTTTCATGACCCATCTGATATTTGATTCGCAGGGTCGCTCATCTGGCCTACAGCTAGCTTTTCTGGAGAACAGGGCCTCTTGCCTTAATGATGAACTATATTAAATTCTTGAAAGTGAAAAGAATGAAATCAGCACAGTCCAAGCCTAAAAGCTTTAACAATAATGGGGCTGTGAATTTTTTTTAATTTAATACAGTGGGGTCTCGACTTACGAACAACCCTACTTGCGAACAATTCAACTTACGAACCCGCCCTATAGGGGGAAATAAGGACTTGACATATGAACTTCCCTCGAGTTACGTACAGGAAAAAAAGTGCCCCCCTCCCCTTAGAGGCTTCTGGAGGGGCAAATAGTGTCAGAAACTTAAAAATAAATAAAAGAAAGTCACTTACCAGGCCTTGGTAGCCCCCAAACAGCAGGAAAAAGAGCAGGAAACAGCTAAAAGCCCACACCAGAAGGGAGCCTGGCAGCCATTTTGTGCTTTCCCCCCTCCTGCACCCTCCTCCCCCGCCTATCAGCTGATGGGCTGGCTCTGAAGAGGCTTGGGGAGGCTTTCTCAGCACCTAAAAAGCCTGCCTGTGTGTCTTTGTGCTGAAAAAATCAGCACAACATGCTTTAAAACATGATTTAAAATTGGCTTCGTTGAAAAAAAAGATTTCTAAAATGCTTTGCAAACTGTTCCCTGCCTTCCTCCTTGTTTCCTGAACCTAAGTGAAAAAAAAGGAAAAAATCGCCCTCTAGTGGCAGAAGGCGGAATAGCAGCTTCCCATTAGTTTCTATGGACGGAAAAGAGCAGATACAGATTAAATGGTTTTCAATGTATTCCTATGGGAAATGCAGATTCGACCTACGAACTTTTCGACCTAAGAACCACCTTCCAATATGGATTAAGTTCGTAAGTCGAGACCCCACTGTACATTTCCTTTTAGGTAACTCAATTAGGCCATTTCCAGAAAAGCTCAGATGAGGCTCCTACGTAGTGGTAAACCACAGAATGCAGAAAGGCTATATAACAGTCTTAAAATTTAGAAAACCTAGCAACCCTACTCCAATAGAAGTATTAAAGGAAATCTTAAGTCTGCAGCAGGACTTCCAGTTTTCTAAGAGATAGTAGAGACTACTGTAATAATCTCTACATGGGGCTGTCCTTGAAGTTAGTATGAAAAATTCAACAGGTCCAATACGCAGCTACCAGACTGATCTCAGATATCAACAGATATAACCATGTGTCACCAGTCTTGGCACATCTCCATCAGCTCCCTGACAGTTTCCACATTCAATTCAAGGTGTTGGTCATCATCTATAAAGCCCTAAGCAGTTTAGGACTTCAACATCTGTCAGAATGCCTCCCCTATAAAACAGCTACCTGTCCCACACATCTCTGCACTCCAGGATGTTAAAGACAATAACACCAAGTGAGGCCAAAAGAACAAACACCAGAAATCAGGCTTTCTCACTTGTGGCCCCACACCTCTGGAATAAACACCTAGCAGAGGTTTGCCAGGTCCTTTCCCTCACAGTTTTAAGGTAGTAAAACCAGAACTGTTTAAAACTGCCTTTTATCAGTTATCGTACTTTTGATGTCCAATGTCGTCTTAAATTGTTTATTTAAAGAATGGGTTATCTGGTCAGTGATTCTATTGTTTGTCCATTTATATTTGTACAGTGGTGCCCCACATAGCGACGATAATCCGTGCAGCAAAAATCACTGCAAAGCGATTTCGTTGCTATGCGGTTTTAAAAAGCCCATAGGAATGCACTGAAACCCCTTCAATGCGTTCCTATGGGCTTAAAACTCACCTTTAAGTGAAAATCCTCCATACGGCGGCCATTTTCACTGCCCGGTAAGCGAGGAATCCGGGCGAAAACACAGCGGGCGGCCATTTTTTTTACCCGGCGGCCATTTTGGAACCACCGATCAGCTGTTGGAAAATCATCGCTATGCGATGATCAGTAAGCGAAACAGGGTACCGATAATCGCAAAGCGATTTTTCCTATTTAAAACATCGCGATGCGATCGCAAAATCTTCATCACTATGCGGATTCGTCATTAAACGGGGCACCCGTTAAGCAAGGCACCACTGTATATTGTTCTCATTCTTGCTGAATGTTTTGCTGTATGCTGCCGAAAAAGTGCATTGTACTATGGGGCAGTATATAAACTGAAAAAAACTGGATTAATTAATGAATTTTACCTTTTTTGGAATTGTTCTGGCTTTTCTTTGTTGTGCTGCTATCTGCTTTCTTGACATAAGCATTCTTCGTGCCCTTTTTACTTTTTGAAGCTGTCTTTTGTTTGGGTTTTTCTTTTTTTGATGACTTTTTAGGTCGCTGTAAAAGGGATTAAAAAACCTCTGAAGCCGATTATGTTTACCATTTCTGTTGCTACTAATCAAACATATAATGCATTTGTTAAAATCAGAAAGTTATTTTATTGCAGCAAAAATACACATGGGCTGCATTCAAAAGCCATAAAGGCATTACAGTGGTGCCTTGATTTACGACCATAATCCGTTCCAGAAGATGGGAATAACTTGAAATGGTCATAAATCGAAGCACCATTTCCCATAGGAATGCATTGGAATGGGATTAATCCGTTCCAGCAGAACCCCCCTCCACACACACACACACGCACACACACACACACACACACACACACAAAAACACAGCCAGCCCCATTGCAACGTGAGGGTCTGAAAAACAAAGCAAAACACCCCCTCGCACCCCACAGTCAGCCCCATCGGAAAACACAAAAACATCCCCTCCACACGGCACAGAAGCATAACCCCCCAAAACCCATGCTGCAAAACAAAGTAAATGTACTTACTCATGAGCAGAAAGCAGCTCCAGGCAGTCTAAAGCCTCCTCCGATGCACACTCTCTAACCCTTGGGGCGAAAGATATACAAAGAAGCTCTTTCCGACCAACGGTTAGCCCTCTAATTTGACTTCCCTGCCTTTTCTTCCTGCCTCTTTTGATCACAACTCAAAGCTACGGCCGGAGCTGGACACAACTCAAAATGGTTGTATGTCAGGACGCAAGTCGAGGCACCACTGTACCTGTCTCTACTACTAACAATACCATTTTGTTAGAGAACAAGCCTCTCTACTTTTATGGCAACACACAAAAAATGGCGTGTATTATAACAAAAAGAGCTATGCCTAAAAGTTTGAGAATAGTATCAAATGTTTGGGAGAAATAAAACTCACAATACAGTAGTGGTGCCTCGACTTACAAAGGTCCCTACTTACAACCATTTCGAGTTATGACCAGTTCCAGCCGCAAAATTTTGCTTCTACTTGCGACCAGAGCTTCCACTTGCAACCAGAAAAAGGTAGGGGAAAAAGGCGGGAAATTCAAATTTCTAGCTGTAGGTGGCGACGAGGCTGCTTCTTTGTAGCTCTTTCACCCCAGCAGTTAGTGTGTGTGATTGGAGAAGGATGCCTGGTAAGGTAAGGTCGTTTTCTGCTTTTCAAAAACTGTTCTGGGTGTTTTTTGCAGCGTGGTTTTGGGCTGGGGGGGTTGTTTCTGTGCAGTGCTGTGTCTTGGGGGGTTTGTTTGTTTTTTAGTTCCCCCAATCTCTGATGGGTTTTGGGGGGTTTGTTTGCTTTTTGGAGTTTTTTTCCCATTTCCAATGGGACTTGGGGGTTTGTTTTTTGGCTTTCCCCCATTTCCAATGGATCTTGGGGGATTTGGTTGCTTTTTGGGTTTCCCCCTCCCCATTTCCAATGGTCTTGCATGCTTCCCTTGCTTTTTCCTTTGTTCTCTGTGCATTTCCGACCCGATCCTTTTGTTCTCTGTGCATTTCTGACCTGCTCTGTTTGTTTTATGTGCATTTCTTGATTGTCTTCCCCCCCCCAATATGGCCAGAAGGGATTAATCGAGTTTTCAATGAGTCTTGCAGTGAATTTTTTTTGGTGATTTTTTTCCCCCTTTGGCTGGAACAGATTAATTGCATTTCAATGCATTCCTATGGAAAACGGTGCTTCGACTTACAACCATTTTGAATTACGTCTATCTTCTGGAACGGATTATGGTTGTAAGTCGAGGCACCACTGTAAATGTAAATTTGCACTTAATCAGCCATTAACTGAATCATCATTATCAGCAGCCGCCGCAGTGCTGCACAGAAGTTTCAGTCAGCTCCTGGGAATTGCTGCAATCCTGCATAGGTAAGGTAGTTCTGTGTAAGGCTCCCTGCAGTGGTCCTCAACCTTTTTGGCGTTGCAGACCAGTTTAGCATGCGTGGGGGGGAGCAGCATCTGTGCATGCATGTGTCTGTGTGCATTCATGCATGCATGGGGGCCATGTATGTGTCCATGGGTGGGGTGTGTGTGCGTCTGTGCGTGGGCATGCATGTGTGCATCCCTGTGGGGGGGCAATCTGTCTCCATGGCTCGGTCCTGCCAAAGCCACAGCCTGGTACTGGGCTGCGGACTGGGGGTTGGGGACCCTTGCTGTACAGAACCTAAAAATAGCAAAGACTATGCTTCTCATGAAGCATTGCAGTGCTTCCCGGGCAACCTTGCCATACTGCTAGAAAACAGCAGGGCTCCCTCCTCCTCCTCCAAATCTGAAAAACAAAGGAATGGAGCAGAGTGCCAGTGGGGAAACCTTTTCTGTTATTTATGTTTTCTCACTATCAGAATTTTGCCTGGGGGATTTCAGGTGAATTCTGGAAGTGGGAGTCCCTGAAATACAAAAATCTTATCCCTAGTAGTTTGTACAAAGCATTTACCTCTTCTTCACTCTCTTTCTCTTCTTCAGATGATTCATCTTTTTCTTTTTTTTCATCTTCACTACTAGATTCGTCTGACAGGATCTCTGGACATTTGGTGCGTTTGGCTTTCCTTGCTGTTCCAGAACTACTGCGTTCTTTTTTACCACCTTTACTGGGTGTTTTCTTGGATTTTGGCAATGGCTGTTAAGTAGAGAGAAAAATGCAGTTGACATATAATAGTAGTGTTATGATCTATATATCTCAATTTACAAACACTGAGTGGAAGGGCATGTTACTTAATTTTAATCATAGTTCTCCGAGCAGTCATCTCTGAAGTGAAACACATAGGTCTGTGCACAGCCTCATTCCGATCTTCTAGAGCTAAGTAGGTTTTGGCAAAAACCATGTCTACACCTCTTTAAAGTGGACATCTAGGCATGATCTGATTGCTTTCTCTCAGTTCCAGTCTACCATCAGCAGATAAAGAGGGAGAAGGGTGAATTTTCTCAGTTCACACATGATCACCTGTAAAGCCAGTTATAGGTAAGCAACCTGCCCCCCGCCCCCATTCACACACAGACAACTAGTTTGCTCTCTTACCAGGGGAGTTCTGACTAATATTGAAGGGAATACAGCATGACCAAAGGTTCTATTTCTTGCAGGTCGTTAGGAAAGCCGTCTGTAGTGGCTCAGTAATTTACTTAATTTACTGAGTCTGTAGTGGCTCAGTAAATTAAGCAGACAGAACAACATGGCAGTGCAGCAGATATTTGGAATAGGAATAATCTGGTGAAGGCAGGAAAGGAGGCGAATGTCCTAATGAAGTAGCTACAAATGTCTCATGTGATAAGGAATCAAGCTATTTGGTATGATACAGTAATTAATTATAAATGTTACTCCCTTAGCAAAGGGCTATATGAATACAGTGGTGCCTCGCTTAACGAGCGCACCGTACAACGACGAAATCGCATAGCGATCCCTTTTTTGGGATCGCTAATGCGATCGCTCAACGACTTTTAGATAGGGCGAAACTCGCTTTGCGAAGATCGGTAAGCGTTTCGCTTACCGATCTTCGCAAAACGAAGCCCCGACGATCAGCTGTTCGGCGGACACAATGGCCACCGGAAGCCCCAAAATGGCCACGCGCAGTGTTTTCACACCCTCCCCTCGCTTACCGAGGGTGCGAAAACGGCTGCTGGCCATAGGAAACTTCGCAGAACGGTGAGTAAAGGAGCCTTTTGGAACGCATTAAACGATGTTTAATGCGTTCCAATGGCTTTCCCTGTCCCGTTCAGCGATGTTTCGCTATAGCGAAGGTTAATCCGGAATGGATTAACCTCGCTATGCGAGGCACCACTGTACTGGTGAACCATTCCATATCCTATGAGCCACAAAAATAGTTAGAATACTTACAGAACTGTTTCATTTTGCAGAGGTGCAAAGCTAAGGCACAACAAACATTCATGAAATTGAGCAAAAGTGCCAAAGAAGTGCTTGGATTTAACAAATACAAAGAACAATCTCTTCATTTATGGGAACTCTGAAACTATTTTATGCAAGGATGGTAATTTGGCCCGAAGTATAACTTTGTCTCTGTGGAATGCAGTGAAAGGTGAGTCAGCCTGCAGGATACAAGTCAGCTGCTT